GCCACTCTCCCCACACTAGATGTGCCCCAGGGAAAGCTATGTGATTCTTTATGCATATGAAAACAGCCAGGCTCTTGCCCTCAGGGAACCTTGGTCTTGTGACCAGGACTCCTTGGGACTTTGTCAAAGGAGGCCTGGTGCTCTCCATGCCCATACCAAGCCCTTGGATGTTTACTTTGACTTAGTTTGGATACTCACAGGTCAGGAAGAGTAGTGTGGGCTGTCTATCCCTCTAGAGATGGCTCACATTCTGTCTTGAATACCTATTCCTTGCTTTTACCCCAAAGGTGCCTCTCTTTTGAGATTGCCCCCACTCTCCCTTGAATGTGTATCTATTTAAATAAACCTCTGGCTATGCCAAAAAAGCCAGTTGTGGTGGCATATACCTGTAAACCCAGTTGTTCAGGAGGCTGAGGCAAGAGAATGGCAAGTTAAAGGCCAGCCTCAGCAACTTAGTGAGGCCCTGTCTCAAAATAAAAAGGGCTGGGGATATGGCTCAGCGATTGTATGCCCCTGGGTTCAATCCCTGGTGCCAAAAAAAAAAAAAAAAAAGCTTAGTGTGGCATGAATTGATTTGGATTTGGCCCTGTAGGCCACTTCCAGAGGGACAGAAGGTACCCATGATGAGGTACACTGGGCACCAGGCACAGCATGGAGGGAGAAGATAGGAAAGTGACACAGGCTGTTGATGGTCTTAGCCTGGAAGCCAGGGGAAGAGGTGACATCCTGGAAGGAGAATAGCCACCCTCACTGCTGTACAGACTCACACTGTCACATGGCTCACTTATACCTAGACCTCACTCCCCACCCCCACTCACAGTCCTACCACCTATTCTTAGTCCTAGAGCTCCACAACCCATGGGGTATCCTCCTCCCACTTGTCCACAGCCCTCACTACAGTGAGGAGGGGGCTTCCCCAGTTGGCCTCTGGTAGCCTGAGATGCTGTGTCTTCATGTGGCTCATCTGTGAGACCCCTCCTGACAGAGAAGACAACTCCAGCATGGATGTCCTGAGGCCTCCTGGACTTGCTTCTGCAAGCACTGACCCCCAGACTTGTTTTGGACCCTGCTGGCCTCCTCACTGTTCTTTGAAGAAGGTGTTCAAGGTGGACCTGAAGCCCTTTGTTACACCATCCCTGCTGTTCCTCCCTCCCCTCCTGGGGGGATGCCACATGGTTACTCCCATTCAGATTTTCTTCTCTTTATGCTGTTACCTTAATAGTACATGTGGTTTCTCTAAACTGCATGTACAACTTTGCTGGCATGTTTTACCACTGTACTATTGAGCAGCCTTTGGGCTGCTGCATCATTTGCTGTGACAGCGGAACACACATTGTCTTAGCCTTGTGGGTAGCACCTAAAGATCCTGAAAGGTGCATCCCATCTCACTGCAGCACTGTAGAGCATGGCTGATTTGGAATGCCTTTCACTGAATGCCTGTTGGCATCCTTGGCCAAGGTTCCTATCAAGTTGTGTTGTATTAATGTTTTGTAGGAACACTGATGAATTCTCCATAATCTGTCATCAATTCTATGCTCTGAGCTTGTGTTTCAGGTGTCTCTTCGTGTCCCGAAGTCTTAATGAGTCCTCCATTATTGTTTATTTTCATCTTTGGAGTTTCTTTTCATATATAGCCTAACACTGTTCACTGTCTTCAAGACAGATGGCTTGGCCTTGTCCATGAAAGTCTTTGATCCATTTGAAATTGCTAGGCGGGTCCTGCCCAGATAGCAGCAGGCGTGGTGTCCAGAATGCCTGGACATTAGCCTGTGGGGTGGCAGGAATGTCTGGGGTAAGCAGGCTTGGGTCTGGACACCTTTTTCTTTTTTACTGCTGGACTCTCTACCTCTGAGCTCCACTCATGGCCTTGGACATCTTTTAGAGACCAGAGTGGTCCAGCAGGCAGTCTGAAGAGCAGGAACATTTCAGAGCATGGCCTCACAACAGTTGGATCCATACAGGATAACAAGACCTGCTGCCATCAGCAAGTGAAGGAGCACATTGTGGCCCTCACTGCTACTGGCCCCATGTGTCCTTGGTTGGTGTGGTGCATAGTAGCCCTTCCCTTCCCCAGAGGGGCTTATTTCTTCACTGTTACAGCTTGTCTCCGCCCTACCCACCCTCATTAGCTCTTGAGGCCCACCATGACCTGAGGAGGAAGAGAGAGAGGAGGCTTCAGGCTGCCACCCCAGATCTGCCTATGCTTAGAGCCCACCTGGGCTAAGAAAAGCCTGTTGGGCTGTCACAAGCAATTCTCTCTGATGGCGCCTGATCTGAGGTGCTGAGACTGTATGTGCTCAGCCCCCTCCAACCCGCCCTACATGCTGTTCCCAGTGCCTGGGTCCAGTTTCCATAGCAACACTGCTGCTGGGTAATGATTCCAGGGAGAAACCACATTCCTGCGGTTCTGTGTCACCTGAGCATCCCACAGTATGTTTGTTGCCCTGCCCTGGGAATTTCAGGGAGAAGCCTCCCCCGTGAAAACCCCGAGAACAGCTCTGAGCCCTTCTGCCACCATGTTTGCTTTCACTCAAGGGCAGTGGTAAGCTAGCAAATGTTCCAAAACAAAAATAAAGTACCCAGTTAGGCCACTGGCCGATTTCCATGGTGTAAATGCTCCATTGTAGCCAATTTCAAGCCATCACCATGATGCCACTTAGCAGGAGTAAGAGGTGTGCAGCCGTACACACGCCATCATTTAACATTCACTTCCAGACACACTGGATGGAAATAATGCCGAGAGCAGAGATGACAGTAAGAGCAGTCAAGTAATTAGAAATTAGAAAGCCAGGAGGTCTCAGTCTTTAGTGCCTTTGTTTTTAATACCATTCATTTAGTGGTACATTTCTACAGTTGAAATGTTGCTAATGGCTCTCTTTAACAACTGGCACCAGCCACTGCTGGAGGGCTTCAAGGTCATTCCTCACATCCCTGTCAAAGGCTCACTGTCCTGCACATAGCCCCTTCTCCAGCCTGCCTGTCTACTGTAGGTCCTTCTGCAGGAGCAGCACATTCTGTCCCACCTGACTTTCTGACACTTTCCCAACAAATACCTTCTTGGCTGAAAAGCTCTGTTTCTTTCCTTCACAGTCTTCAATTCAGTAATACAACTCTTCTTTTTTCTTTCTCTTTGGTTTTGGGGATTGAACCCAGGGGCACTTAACCACTAAGCTACATCCCCAGCCCTTTTCATTTTTTATTTTGAGACAGTCTTGCTAATTTGCTGAGGCTGTCCTCCAATTTATAATCTTCCTGCCTAAGCCTCTCTAGTCAATGGAATTATAGGTGTAGACCACAGTGCCCAACTTTGCTACATACTTTATAGCAAAACTAAAAAAAAAATAATCCTAGTGATGTAAAGTACGGACCAAGCCAGTAGGGCTGGTGTGTAGGAGCTTTGAGAACCTGCACCTATCTAATGGTTGATATAAAGAAAAGACTAGAAAGAAGTATGTCCACAGGGCCACAGCATTTACATTCCTGACATGATGGGCAACTTTGGTTTTCTTCATTATGGTTTTCTTATTTTTAAAATATCTTTATTTTTAAAATTTACTTTTATGTGGTACTGAGGATTCAACACTTTTCAGAACATGAATATTGGGGGGAGAAGGGAGACCTAGAAAACAAATTATCTAGAAGGACATAATGAAATAGCAGAAAGATAATTGTTTGGGTTACATTGGCTCAGAAGTCAAGAGCCATCACTGAGGCTAGGAGGAGTCCCTGGGACACCTGGGCTTCCACTAGACAGGCCACCTTCCAGGCTAGGGCTGTGATGTTGCAGCTACTAGCATGGGTGTGCACTCTGGGTAGGCATCTCTATGAGAAAGGATAGAAGGGTTCTTGCACATAAAAGTTGCAGCACACCACCTCAGGACCCAGGGCGCAGGGTTCTGCAGAAGCTGGCTGGGCTGTGGCCGGCCTTCTGCCCATGGTGCTTCGCAGGCACTCCTCGCTCTCTGTCCAGCTGGGATGTCCGCCCTCCTAATGGCTTTTCTCCCTTTCTGGCTCTGCTTCCCAGTGTACCACCTTCTACCCCAGATTGCCCTGTTCTTCCTACTAAGCTGTTCCCAGTTCTACTTCTGTCTTGGGCCCCAGGCCTTGGCCTGGCATGGCCCCATCCTCCCCTATACCTCATTCTGGCTACTGACCTTCATACAAGTCCCTTCACCTGGCTGAGCCTCAGTTTCCTATCTGCAGAATGGAGGCAGTAACATTTAGGAGTCAGGACTCGGTAGCGGGGATCACATCAAGGACCCTGCCCAGAACCTGGCATGTAGCAGGTGCCCAAAAACCTGGTGGTGACTTTGTCAGGACCACTTTCTTGGCAGCTCTCTTAGGCCACCTTGCTATTCCAGGAGACTTCTAGTTTCAAGGACTTTTCTATTCAGCAAGTCAGTCACCACCATGAGGACATAGATCAAGTTCTAACATCTTCCAACTCCCCTCCCAGCAGACCCCGCCCAGCCTTAGCAAGTAGGCATCTGTTGATAAATCCCACCCGTTGCCAGGGTTGTCTTCCTGCCTTGATGGCTGAGGAGCACAGTGTAGCTGTTCATTAGGGTTGGCTGGTGTGCTTCTGTTGTTAAGGAGCTCTCTGGGGGTCTTCTAGGTGCTAGTTCTGGCTTCAGTGTTGCCTGAAGGAAAAGTAGGTCTGGTCCTAGTGGGAGGGAGGACAGGAGAGTTGTGGATGGCTCCTTCTCAAGGAGAGACTGAAGGAGATTCTGGGGTGAGGACAGTCTACAGAACCAGTGCACAGACTCTAGGTCACCCTAGCTCTCAGCACGGCCCAGAAATCCCCAGACATCACTCATGGGGTAGAGGTTGAGAAGTGGGGTTTGCCTGAGAATGAGGGCATCAAGGGTAACCAGGACCATGCATGCAGAGCACATTCCTCAGTTGAGCATATTGGGGTGCTCAGGGTCCTGCTGGTCTTCACCCCTAGAGGGGAGGAGCCAGCCCTCGAGGGTTCTCATGGAGACGTGTCTCTGCTGCAGGTAAACGGGAAGGAGCTCTCCAAGCTGTCTCAGGAGCAAACCCTGGAGGCCCTGAGAGCCTCCAAGGAGCCCCTGGTGATCCAGGTGCTGAGACGCAGCCCCCGCCTGCGGGGGGACAGCTCCTGCCACGACCTTCAACTGGTGGACAGTGGCACTCAGACCGACATCACCTTCGAACATATCATGGCGCTGGGCAAGCTGCGCCCGCCCACCCCACCTATGGGCATCCTGGAGCCGTACGTCCTCTCTGAGCTGTGAGTTGCCCTTAGGAGGGCCCTGGGCCCTGCCTCCAGAGAGGACATACCACCTGGGGCAGCTGTCCCCATGATGCCCAAAGGCGTCATTGATGCAGCTCTGGCAGTGTCAGGGAGACCCCCACCTCCGCCTGCCTCTCAGGCAGGAAGCAGGCTCCTTGGCCTCCAGAGCCGACTATGGTACCTGAGGGCTCAGAAACCTCCAGGCCTCTAGCTTTGGGCTCAGCAGCAGCTGGTGAAGGGGGCTGACCTGCCTGGACCTCGCTGCTCCTCCATCCTCTCTCCTCCTCTGCCGCCCCATTGTCTCTGCTCTTCACAGCATCACTCCTTGAATCTTCCTGCATCCCTAGTCTGTCCCATCCTTCTACCTGCTCTGAATTTCCTCCATCTCTTCGGCTTCTTTCTTTGGCCCGCTCAGAAGAAGGGCCTTTCATCCAGGCCTGGTGGCCCATGACCATGTGAGTGCTGACTCATTCTGCTAATCTTGGCCCAGGCTGCAGGGAGGTGGTCCTGAGATCCCTCCTCTGCAGAGAGGTAGGCCATAGGGCTGTGAGCAGCCAACCTTAGCTTTGGGGCAAGGAGGGCAGCCCTTAGAGGCAGAGGGGATGCCCATCTGCTCTGCAGGCCTCCTGGCTAACTCCTGGGGGTGCTGCATGAGTGGGGCCAGTACTGGGAGACAAATGGGGCACCTGGAGCTTTGGAGAAGTTTATCCCTGTTCTGGGAGAAGAGGCAGGGAGAGCTAGGCATGCCTGGGTCCTCAGCATTGATCCCTGCTCACTCAAGTTGAGAAGCATTTTGATCTTTCCATGGATGCATACATTTATAAGGAGGGGTTCTGGAGGAGGCTGTTGGGCTACCTGCCATGGAGAGTGTACCCAGCACAGGGCTCCCTGCTGGCCAGCTAGGAGCTGGGGTTAGGGTGCCAGAGGAACAGATGGCCTGCTGACCCCCACCTTCTCCTGGGCAGCCCCCCCATCAGCCATGAGTATTATGACCCGGCGGAGTTCATGGAGGGCGGCCCACAGGAGCCAGACCGTATGGACGAGCTGGAGTATGAGGTGAGCCGGCCACCGGGCCAGGGCCCGCAGCCAGCCTCAGGAGGCGGCACAGGATGGCTGGCTGCAGCCCTGCTCAGACCTGGCTCCTGCTGCCCCCAGGCGGCTGGGCCTCCTGGCTCTTCCCACTGAGCCCTCCCTGGTGTGTCCTTCCTGGTGCGCGTCTGGCTGAGTCAGGGAGGGCCCGGGTGAGGTAGTAGTGCATTACGTCTGTGTTGGTGAGTCCATGTTCCACGCATGTGTGTGTCCCGTGCGTCCTGTGCATCCTGTCTGTCTTGGGCATTTCCTGGTAGGGAGACCACTGAACATGTGCACCATTTGGGATGGTAAGAGAAGGAAGCCCTCAAAGCCAGGGGCTGGACGCTCGGTTTAGGTGACTGGAGGGGAAGGCCAGGGGGTGCTGGGGGAGACAGTCTGGGCTGAGGCTGTCACTGGCTGCAGGCTTCCTTGCTCACACTGTCTGGGTCTTTCTACTTTGCTTCCTCCCGTACCCTTATGGCAGGAGGTGGAGCTGTACAAAAGCAGCCACCGGGACAAGCTGGGCTTGATGGTGTGCTACCGCACGGATGACGAGGAAGACCTGGGCATCTACGTTGGAGAGGTATGGAGGCGGGTGCCAAGGAAGCTCTGGCATAGGGAGGGCTCTGATGCCACATGATCCCTGTGGCCTCTCCACACATCCCACCCAGGGCTCAAACACTGTTCCCTGGGCATCTCAGTATGCTGCTGGGTGGTGAGGACAAGGCAGTTGATAGCTTCACTGGGCCAGTGAAGCAGTCCTCTGCAGGAGACCTGTGCCCAGGCTTTGTTCTCCCACATTGTGGGGCCAACTCCCTAGGACTTGACAGAGGACCACCTCCCTCCCTCCCTTTGCCAAGTTTCTGTGTGTCCACCAGAGGGAACATGGCTCCTCAGCTACCCTCTGTTAGCAGTATCATAATAAAGCTAGTCTTCTGGATGGAAAAGTTTCCACTGGCCATGGAGCCTCAGGGTGGATTTTTTTTTTCATTCTGAGAGTAACCAGCTGCTTTGCTTTGCCCAGCTCTTGGTAAATAAAATAACAGGCTTCCATGAAAAGGAGCACAGAGTGCTGGGGCATAGGCAGGGGTGTGGGAGTATTGGGCAGAAGCTAGGGAGCTTCTGGTCAGTGTGTGCTCTCCCAGGCTGGGAAAGTGACTAACTTGGGGCCCACTGCCTCTGCCTCTGCTGCCTGGAGCTTGGAAGCTGCTGCTCTGAGCTGAAATTGGAGCTTCACTTTGCTTTGGGGACCTCCAAGGTGAGGCTGCCCCTTCTCACTGAAAAGGGCACTTTAGGCACTGAGTCCCCAAGATGCACGTGTCCTGCAGGTAAATCCCAACAGCATTGCAGCCAAAGATGGCCGGATCCGTGAGGGAGACCGCATCATCCAGGTGAGCATTTGCAGGCTTCCAGGTCTGACTGGAGGCCCTGCTGCACCCAGTGATGGCCCTGCTCCCTCTCTTTAGCCCATACCCAGCTCTCACTGAGAGCCAAGACTGAGGCCAGGCAGCCTACTGTGTTCAAAACCTGGGCTGTGCTTCCTGTCCTCTGCTCAACCTCCCTTCCAAATGCCATGGCATCTGTGGACAGCTCCCCAGCCTCCTTTCCCTACATTCTCGCTGTGTTGTCCTTGGCACACACATGTCCTCTTGCATGGGCAAGACCATTCTCTCCCTGGCACCTTCTGCTTATTTATACCCTCCCAGAACTCAAGTACGTGTCTTAGACCAGCCAGGGCCCTGCCCCAAAGCCAGCCTTAGCATCCTTGTTGATTGTCCCCTGGCCTGCCAGATAAACGGCATGGATGTCCAGAACAGAGAAGAGGCAGTGGCTATACTGAGCCAGGAGGAGAACACCAACATCTCCCTGCTGGTTGCTCGGCCTGAGAGCCAGGTGTGTGTACCCATATTCAGGTGACCTGGGACTCTCAACATTGGGCTGGCTTTCTTGGAAGCTGCTGATCTGTGACAAGTGCACAGACATTCAACAGTCTGGAGCTGGAGGGTGGGTGGATAGAGCTGTCCCAGATCTTGTTTCCCCTTCCAGCCTCTGATAGCTGAATAGGCTGAGAGTACCCCATTTCTTGGGCTATTTGACCTAGAGGGGACCTGATGGGCATCTGGGGAGAACCTTGAAGCAATGGGACTAGCTCGAGCCTGTCTCTGCAGCTAGCAAAGCGGTGGAAGGACAGTGACCGGGATGACTTCCTGGATGATTTTGGCTCTGAGAATGAGGGGGACCTGCGTGCTCGGAAGCTTAAGTCACCCCCTGCCCAACAGGTAAGGAAGAGCTATTACTGGGGAGAGCAAGAGGGAGAGAAGGGGGAAGGGACTGGGAGTATGCAGGGTCTCCTAGCCTGGGCCAGGAGAAGAAACAACCCTGAAGCCCCTTCAGGCCTTTGGGGCCCTGAGTGTGCTTGTCTTTTTTACTCTAGCCTGGGAATGAAGAGGAGAAGGGGGCTCCTGATGGGGGCCCAGGCCTGAGCAACAGCCAGGAGCTGGACAGTGGGGTGGGCCGGACTGATGAGAGTACCCGTAATGAAGAGAGTTCTGAGCATGACCTGCTGGGGGATGAGCCCCCCAGTACCACCAACACCCCTGGGAGCCTGCGCAAGTTTGGCCTGCAAGGGGATTCTCTGCAGAGCCGGGACTTCCACTTCAGCATGGACTCACTGCTGGCAGAGGGGGCAGGGCTTGGAGGTGGCGATGTGCCTGGCCTCACAGATGAAGAGTATGAGCGCTACCGGGAGTTACTGGAGATCAAGTGCCACCTGGAGAATGGCAACCAGCTGGGCATCGTGTTCTCCCGGGCCTCTGGTAGCAATAGTGCTCTGGATGTCAACCGCAATGAAAGCCTGGGCCACGAGATGGCCATGCTGGAGGAGGAGCTTCGCCACCTGGAGTTCAAGTGTCGCAACATCCTGCGGGCGCAGAAGATGCAACAGCTGCGCGAGCGCTGCATGAAGGCCTGGCTGCTGGAGGAGGAGAGTCTCTATGACCTGGCGGCCAGTGAGCCCAAGAAGCATGAGCTGTCTGACATCTCTGAGCTGCCAGAGAAGTCTGACAAGGACAGCACTAGCGCCTACAACACCGGGGAGAGCTGCCGCAGCACCCCACTGCTCGTGGAGCCCCTTCCTGAGAGCCCTCTGAAGCGGGCCACTGCTGGCAACTCCAACTTGAACCGGACCCCTCCTGGTCCCCCTGTCGCCATCCCCTCCAAGGCTGCTCCTCTGCCTGGGAGCCCCGCCAAGTTCCGATCCCTCTCCCGGGATCCTGAGGTGGGCCGGAGACAGCATGCAGAGGAACGAGTCAGACGCAGTCCCAAGACAGGGGTGACCCTGGAGCGTGTGGGCCCTGAAGGCAGTCCTTACCTCTCTAGGCGCCACCGTAGCCAAGGCCAGGAGAGCGAGCACTACCATAGCTGTGTGCAGCTGGCCCCGACCCGTGGCCTGGAGGAGCTGGGCCACAGCCCCTTGAGTTTGGCTGGGGGCCCTCGGGTGGGTGGGGTGGTGGCTGCGGCCGCTGAAGCACCCCGCATGGAGTGGAAGGTGAAGGTACGCAGCGACGGGACACGCTACGTGGCCAAGCGGCCTGTGCGAGATCGGCTGCTGAAGGCCCGGGCCCTGAAGATCCGGGAGGAGCGCAGCGGCATGACTACTGATGATGACGCAGTGAGTGAGATGAAGATGGGCCGCTACTGGAGCAAGGAGGAGCGGAAGCAGCACCTGATCCGTGCAAGGGAGCAGAGGAAGCGGCGCGAGTTCATGATGCAGAGCCGGCTGGAGTGCTTGAGGGAGCAGCAGAATGGCGATAGCAAGCCTGAGCTCAACATCATCGCCCTGAGCCATCGCAAAACCATGAAGAAGCGGAACAAGAAGATCTTGGATAACTGGATCACTATCCAGGAGATGCTAGCCCATGGCGCACGCTCAGCTGACGGCAAGCGAATCTACAACCCTCTGCTCTCCGTCACCACTGTCTGAACCGCCTGGGCAGGAGCCCAGCCCAGGCAGCCTCCCAGGCCTGGCCCTCACCCTCCCTTAGAATCTAGTGTGTGTCTGTGTGCGTGTGCACACTGTGCACGTACATACTCCTGTCTTTGTGTGTGCACAGGACTTTGTTGACAGAAAAGCCCCAAGGAGAAGGGACACTTCTTTTCTATCACCTACTTCCCTCTCCCCAAAAGACCATGTCAACAGCTGGCGTTGGGAGCATACCTGTAATGGGCACCCCTTTGTGTGCATGACATATATGCAGTGCTCTTGACATGTATATTTGGAGACAGGGAAGTTGGTGCAAAGAGAAGTGAGGTAGACTGTCCTAAGCACAAGAGAATGTCCAGCTTCGCCGCTGAGCGCAGCCTCTCTCGACCCCTGGGAGCTGCAGTTATTTGTAGACAGAGGCAACCCTGATTTTTGTGGTTTTTCTCCCTTTCTGTGCTTGCCAATAGTTGTTTTTCTGTTTTGTGGACCTGCTCTGGGCGCTGGCAGCTCCTTGAGGCAGCCTGACCAAGGTGGAACCCCACCCAGTGTTGGTTGGGAAGGAGGTGGGGGGGGAGAGAGGGAGGGCTGGGGTGGGAAGGGAGGGGAGGGAAGGGAATGGCGGGAGGAATGGGAAGCAGCTGTCCCAGTGGCCTCCACTCTGTGGTGGGGAAGGGGAGCCTCTGCTATGGCTTTTGAGGCTCACTCCTGGGGGCTGCATCCTTCCCCAGTGACTGGAGGAGAATGAGACTGCAGGGACTGAGTGGGCAGTGTCCATCCAAGAAGAATTAACTTGAGCCCGCATTTGTGCCTGATGCCATCTGGAGCAGGGCCACTCTTTCTGAATGGTCTGAGGAGGGTGCTTAGATATCAAGGGGATTTTTGAAACCAAGCCCCATGAGCAACAAGTGGAAGACCTCAGGCTGTCTGGCCTGGAGAGGACTTGGTGGCAACCAGAAGCCTGGACCCAGTGACAGGCAGGTGGGCTGATCAGGAGAGATGCACATCTGGCCTTCACCCACTTCCAGGTGTTGCAGTTTGCAAGTGGTGCCCCTCAGGTTTGGAGAGCCCCAGATTGGAGGCAGGCAGGCTGTCCCACCCTGCCCCCACCTGCATCTCAAGAATAAAGCAAGCTGCCTTTTTACTTGGTTGAATCATGGCCTCCCTGTGTTCATTCTCATCATGCTATTTATCCTGGAGAAAGAGAGAGCAGTTGGTTAAATTCTAAATGCAGAGATGCAGGCAGCAATTTGGTGATGGATATGATGCTCTGATGGGTGAGCGGGAAATCCAAGGGCCCATTTCCAGAAGCCGCATCCTCCTGCTAGGAAGGCAGAGACATAGGGGTGCAGCCTCATCTGTCTGCCACACTGAATGGCTCTGGGAGGGAAGGCCCAGCATGTCACGTGGCAGTCCTGCCTAGGAACAACAATGAGCAGGGGAGTGGATGACAGGCTCATTGAAGCAGTGGAGGTGGGAATAGGGAAGGGGGTTAGACTAGTTCCCCCATTCCTCTTGGGCCTTCTTCAGCCAAGGGTGTGGTATACCAAAATCAGCCTCCTGCCCCTGGGACGGAATATGTGGAAACCAAGGCCAACTGTTCCTTCCTCTGGGGACTCACTTCCCCATTATTCTTATGGGGTATTCACAGGACATGGGCCAAGATGGGCCCAGAGCCTGGAGTCCTTTGGCCATCTCAAGGAGAAGTGGCGCCAGGAGGGCTGGTAGCACTTGGCTACTGATGCCCTGGAACAGTGTCTTCACATTTGGGTCCTACTACCATCAGACTGCCTGGTTGAGCCAGAACCAAGAAAAGCAACTGGGCTGCCTTCTTCCTGCATAGGCTAGGCTGCTGGCAGAACACAAAGAATAGTCATTCCTTAGCAGCCAGGGGAGCAGCTACTGCTCCCAGCACTGGGTTTTATCCCTGGACTCCAGAAAGCTCATCTGCTGCCTGAGCTAGTATGTTCTGATCCCCTTGGGCCCAATTCTTTAGTTGTGCCCACCTCAACCCATTTTTGTAGTCTGGAGGAGGCCCCCTAGCAGACCTGGGTAGGTGGACAAGCCCACCCTCACACTCTCCTACTCCTTCCAGCCCCCCCCCCCCCAGGCCTGTGGCAGAGCCTAGGCAGGGGAAGGAGCCTGGACACTGTCCTCCCAGCAGGCTCGGGGCCTTGCCTCCTTTTTCTGGAATGGCTATACCATTTCCTCTGTAATGGCCAATGGTGACTATGTACTCAGGTACCAGGACATTACCGACTAGTCTCAAGAATTCCCTGACACCCTATAGTAGGCAGTCATGCAGCTGGAAAGGGTTCACAAAATTTGCACCCAGCCCCTTTGGACCCCAGGGTGCTTACTACTCCACCTGCTGCCTTAGTGCCACTGACCATGCAAGTGGCTGGTGCCTAGCACATTCCAAGCCCGGAAGGGTGAGCCGGAGCATTGTGCACAAGCACATGCATGGATTCCTGCCTGATGTGCTGAAGGCACTGGGTATTCATGAGGGATCACTAGGAGGGAGCAGTGGGCTTTCCAAGGTAGGGGAGTCTGTTTTCTAAATACCCATGCTAGGGGATGGGATTGTGGCTCAGTGGTAGAGCGCTTGCCTACCATGTATAAGGCACTGGGTTCGATCCTCAGCACCACTAAAAAAAAAATAAATATTAAATAAATAAACAAGAAAGTGGCCAAGGTGTTGAGTTTGGAGACAGCTTCTGCCTGGACAGCTGTGGGGTGTTGAGGCACATACCAGATTTAACTCCATCTGCAAGATGGGACCTCACTGCTCAGCAAAGCACTGCAAAGTACCTGTATGTGGCTCATGCCCCAGGCTCCAAATAGAAGCCATTGTGAAGATGACGCTGGCTATTTTACCACGAGTGTCCATGACACACACTAAAGGATTATGGGGAAACTAGAAAAGTCTCTGCCTTCTCTGGCCAGGCTAGAGTACATGCCATTCCTAAAGGCACAGGTGCAGCAGAGCAGCACCCCATGCTCCCCAGCCGGAGGCAGGATCAGAGGTCATAGGGACTTGTCTCAGGCCAACCATGGGAAGAGGCCCCATTAGGAGGCCAGATGGAGGGCTGGCAGCTCTGCCACAGAGGACCAGGTGAGAACAGGAGAGAACAAAGCAGTCTTCACTGAGGGGGTCATGTGCTGGGAAGGAAAGGGATGGATCCATGCCCAACATGCCAGCAACCAGGACAGACACAGAGAAGGTGGACATAGGACACTATGGGGAAGGTTTGACCTCTGCTGTTGAGGTGGGCAAAGGGCACACTAGGTGCCCAGCTCTCCTAATGTGAGGAAGGCATGGCAATGTCAGCCAGGAGCCCTGTGTTCCAAATGTACTCATGACAACCAGTGACTGTTTATTGAAAGAAGCAAAGCTGGGGGTGCCACCCTCAGGCCTGGATGTGGCTCTTTGCACTGAAGGCCAGGTAGTAGATCACTAGGCCTATTACTGCGGCCAGTACCTCGGTGGAGACCCAGGGCCCATTCCAGGCACCCTGAAAGAAAAAAGACCAAAAGCTTAGCTCAGGGGAGTGGATCCAGTCACCTGCCCTCAGGGCACACAAGGCACATTAGTTAAAGATGGCCCAACAGGTAGAGCTGGGGCTGCAAAGGAAGAGAACTTTCCCTCAACCCCCAACCCTCTAAAAAGAGGTGTGCCACATATTAAGTGTTCCCCTGGGAGTAGGACACTCACCCTATGGTCCACGCTGACTGTGAACAGGGGTGGGATGATTGAAATGTCCTCATTATTTCTCTGAGCCTGCAAGGGAGGTACTGGGGTCAGGGAACACTTAATGGGTTGTCTAGGTGGGGTGGAAAGGGACAGGAAAGGCAGGAGCACAGAAGAACAAAGGAGAGAAAGGAGGAAGTAACAGGTGGGGCGAGTGGAGTAGGAGCACAGGAAGACACCCACCCAGCCCATCCTGCTCCACATGAGTGATCTCCCTAGAGGGCTGAAGCTGCAGGAGGGCAGGGCTTGCCCTCCCTCACTGGGGCCTCCAAGCAATACTTACCTTCCTTAGGAGGCTGTAAGACTCCTCATCGAAGAATCTGACCTCATAGGTGCCTGCATGGGCGCTCTTATGGTCTAAGCTCCAGGACACCTGGTTGAGTGTGTTTGGTAGGGGGTGGGCACAGTGGACACCTGAGGGGCCACCCTACCAATGCTGACACAGTATCAATACAGGCAGCCTTCAAGTCATGCTCATGAGCAGGTAGCCTTCCCTGACCCTTGGCTCAGCATCCCTTACCTGATAACGGCCCACATCCTGGCCCCTGGTGACAGGGAACTGTTTTCCACTGACATCAGCATAAAGAGCCATGTTCTGGATGAGGAGACAAAGGGAGAGTCATCATCATCTTCTGTGGATGCAGGCAGAGACCCCATCGTGTTACCTACAGCAGTGTCAGGAATGTAGGCAGGGAGGCCAGGCCTATCTGGGGGTTGCTGTGTGCTTGGTAGGGGCCACCATGTAAGAACCATAAGGACAGGCCTACCATAACCTGGAGCTGTATTAGGAACCCAACCACTGCCCTGTCACTGTCTTTTCTGTCTCTTCCTGGGGGAAAATAGGTCAGATCCGCAGTATGGCCTGGCCCAACTTGATCCCCCATAAGTCTGTTAACTGTGAACAGGAGACCCATGATGAAAACGTCCTCGTTATTTCTCAGCACCTAAAACGAAGATGCTAGGGTCAAGGAGTGCCTAAGAAGCATTTAACTCAAGGAGTGTTATAATTTAACAAACACCCACAAGGACACACTCTTGCAAACAACAACCAGAAAAGGGAGGGAGGGGCCTGACCCCAGCCCTTTCTCACGTTCCAGACATTCATGTTTGAAACATGGGTATCTCTGTAAGGTTAGTGCATGTAGGGAAAGCAAACATGAGCAAGTCAAGAAATGCTCTTAAATACTCGCTAAGATCTGTCCTTGCTGTGCCCTTATCTCTCCTGCACCCCCAAGAATTGGAATCCTTATTCTCCCTGTCAACATGACCCTTGGGTCAGATTTTGTCAACTGCCAATGAGGAGAATCATTCCACTCCACACCCTCCTGACTGAAGCCCCACTGTCTCACCTGAACCCTGTTCTTGCATGTCAGGGAGATCTCCACGATGAAGACAGTCTCGGTGGAAATGACGGCATCTGAAGTGGTATAGTAGGAAGGAGTGATCTGGGGCTCCACACAGGCCTCTGCTGCAGGGAGGAGACAAAGCTGGCTTATGTGTGCTAGGCTAGTCTGCCCCAGCTCTGCCTCCCAGGCCCAGTCAGCTGAGGACACACAGGTCCTTCTGCCCCTGTCAGGTGTGGACTGGGGAACCAATCCCAGTGCTCATGCATAAGTACAGTGAAAAAGGGGAGTCTGATGGCTATGAAGGCAGGAAACAGTGGGGCAAGAAGACCTTCCTGGTCAGCCAGGTAAAGAGGTGGACCTCAATGCAATGACAAGGGAAGAGAAAGTGCATGTATTTGAGGAGCATGAACAGGCTGGATTCACTGCACCACTCATGTTAGTTTCTGGACCTACGAAGGGGAAGCCATATAACTAACCTACCTGGGCATGGTACACCCCAGCAGATCAGGGAGCCAGGCTAGCCTCAATGTAGAGCCATGAACTGCCCAGACAACTTACTGAAAGCATCCTCAGCAGAGACACCAAGCAGAGTGGTGGCAAGGTACAGGAGCTTTCAAGATAAGGAAAAGGGTCTGGGTTCCCAGCTGGTTGACAGAAGGCCAAGAATAGCCTCAGTAGTTCCCAGGGTAAGCAAATGGGAGGGGCTCTGGATTCAGGCACACAACTTGTCCCTGTAAATTCAGCAGCCCAGAGAAAAAGGAGCCAGCTGTAGCCATCTCCATACCCACAGACAGCCACAGGAAAAGAAGAGTGCTACCTATGTCAGAGGGCACGAAGCAAACACTACCCTAAGCGGAAAAGTTCTCAACCAACTGCTCTCTGAATGTGATGACCTGGCAAAATGATGGCTTAAATTAAGGAAGTCAAGAAAAGACTTTGGGTCTGGACAGCAGAAGGAAAATGCCTACAAATGGTAGTGAAGGATGGTTCTCAGGGGCCAGATATCATAGCGTTCTGTGTGCATACTGTGAAGCCTCTGAAAGGTTTTATAGTCAGGTTTATCCTTTTAAAAAATTCCTGGCTATGGCCTTGGGGAATTCCTGAGGGGTGGGTGGGAAGGGTATGGGCAGGGAGGCCAGTTAGGCTGATGCTGGCCTTGAAGTATTCAGGAAACTGTATGGTCAAAAGGCAGTTCCTGCCCAGTCTAGGCCTCCACACCTGATGCAGCTACTGCCAACAACCTCATAAATACACTGGACTCACCCCCCCACCGAGGTGTTAAAGAGTCACTCACGGATGTAAATCAGTGAGACTGTGGCTCAGCTTAGCTGAGAACCCTAGGATGAACACACCAGAGTGTCAGGGAAAGTCAACAGCTCCCTAACTTGCCTGGTGCTCTTGCTGTCCCTTGTCTGGACTGTCCTTGCTCCTTCTCACTTAGCTCTCACTTTCCTGGGGAAGCCTGGCTTGCACCGCACAGGCTCAGGTGGTTCCTCTCTGCCAGCCCTGTTTCTCACCGTTATTGCTCCGTGCTATATAGCCTTGCTCCCGTCCCACTACCCTCTGAGACAGGGAGCAGGAGCAGGGACTTGTGTCACCTTCCCTGTTGGAACTGGTGGCCAAGAGAACGATGCTGGCATTGGGATTCTCCCATGAGCAGACGAGAAGGATGTCTGTTTTTTCCAGCAGCCCGGCTGCTAGGTAAACGTGTGTGTGGTACGTTGGTCCCTGCACCCCGAGGCCACCTGCCTCTCAGAGGAAGGCCCGGCCGGTAGCCATAAGCCTCGGGAAGGGCCAGACCCCTGCTTCTCCCATACCCCTTCACCCCCCAGCACCACCTGCCGTGGGACAGGCTCGCCAGAAACAAGCTCCGGCCAGGCCGCTACCTGAGCAGCAAGAGAGGCCGGACAGCAGGAGTAGCGCCAGGGCGCCGAGAGATGCCATCGCCGCCATCGCCTCTTCTCTGCCGAGAGAAAAAGAGAGCGAGCTCCCCTAACACGCGGGGCAGACGAGGAAGCGCGACGCGTAAGCGGCTGCGACAGCCAATCGCGCCCGAGCGGGCCGGGTCGGGCCTCGTGACGTCGCTGGCGGCACTGACGTGTCCCCTCCCCGAGCCAGAGGCCCAGCCGGCCGCGCCCCCTACTCAAGATGGCGGCAGCGGTACTGAGGGCACCGGAAGGGGGCGTGGGAACCGGCGCGGCCTCGCGCGTGCGCAATGCTGGACCGGTGCCCTCAGGATTCTCGCCCTGCAGATCTCTCGCGAGAACAGTGTTTTAACATTGGAACCTGCTGCGGCTCTCACTTTCTGTCATGGCGCTGAAGGTGGCGACGGCCGCCGGTGGCGCTGCGAAGACAGTGCTCAGGCCAGCCCTCCTTTGTCGTCCTTGGGAGGTGAGTGGGGAACGGGACACCGGACAGCTGCAGCGCTTGCTGGGGTCCTTGCACCCCATTGGAGCCGGGACAGGGACAGCCGCTCTTTGAGCAGAATGGAGTTCGATTGGCTGCGGGTCTCGAGAGGGGCGGGGAAGAGCGCTGTGCGCCGGGGTTCATTGGCCACCTCTGCTGTCAGTGACGGGATTGGCCAAAGTTGGCCCTGGTCTGGCTCCGCCAGGGGTCTGTATCTCGTGGCGGGGGCTGTGGGTGGGCCGCGGCGGCTGGGTGTCACCTCCTCGGTGTCCTTGTGGGAGCCCTCCTGAGGCGGTCATGTGTCCCGGCCCCGCCTTGTTCATGCCACCTTGGATATCCCGTTCTATACTCAATTCCTCCTGGGTTTCCCTCGTGGACCGCTTTGCCACCTGCCCTAGTGCATGATAATTGGACTTAGCCAGTCACCCCTGATCCCTCCCACATTCTTAGAGTCCCAGACTCCCCTCTCCCCAGGCGCTTGTAATGAAAAGTCAGGGTTTTCGAAGCTGCGGCAGGGGTTGGGGGGTGCTAGAGACTGCAGGGTCTTTGCTTCCTCAGTTCTGCATTTGGTATCTTATTTATTCTGGTCCGATTCTTCCCTTCTCAAACATGTTTGAGATGAGGATAGCTTAGGTCCTGGTTAGCACTACATAGCGGCTACAAGCAAATATTGGCCCTAGGGTATAAGAGGTATAACCTCCGGGCCTTGCTCCCCCACTGACCCACTGCTTGGCCTTAGGCCAGGCTCCTCCTCCTCCTTTGGGTTCCAATTTCCCTTCTGTCCAGTGAAGGGAGATGACTTCTTATTCTCAAAGGATCCTGCAAACTTTGACCTTGCAGAACTCCATGATTTTTGTAAACACTTCCTGTGGATGCTTCCATTTGCCACGGTTCTCCCCTCTGTCCTCTGGGGGAGACTGCTTATGCATTATGAAATTTTCTTTAAAATGCTGACTTCTTCCACATCACCAATGAAAGAACAGCAGCATGTAAAGGATTTCTAGAGTCCCCGATGGTACCTGCAGGCTCTTGGTGAAGACATTTCTCTCCTCCCTGACACCCCCCCCCCATGTGTAGGTGCTTGTGGATGCCCTTGGGGTGGTAGTAAGGAACAGCGAACAGTTCATAGGCAGATGGAGCCTTGCCCTGAGACTGGTTGTCCTGGACAAACCTTATAAAGGAACTCCAGATTTAGGGTCCCACTTGTTGGGACCTCCTTGGAAAACATGCAGCCACTATTGGCACTTGATCCAACAGAAAAGTGCCAAAGAGAAGCTATATAGTAAGATGTGGCATGTGGGAGCCCTTCAGCAGGAGCATGCAGCATCCTGGACCCTTGTTTCTGTGGAACTATCAAAAGATGATGGATGATACATGCCTGTGTACATCCCAGCCTGCCTCATACTGGGCTCCTTTGGTAGCTTCATGGAGCAAGCCAGGTATGAGGCAGAACCTTTGTAACCCGCTGAAGGAAGATGCCTGCATCTATATAGAGCAAGGTCAGGGAAGTCTCTCTCTGAAGAGCTCTCTGGGACTTTGGCCAGAGCCCAGTGAAACATCTGGCATAAGAAGCAAGTGTGGGAGAGGTTCAGCCCTGGTGGCATACATAGGCAGGAATGCATAGACTTCAAGCCAGACCTGTTGCAGGCCTTCAGGATACTGGCTCATTGCTACAGCTAAACAGGGCCCAGGAGGAATTAATTGCTGGGAGGTGCAGGGGTCAACCTTATATTCTCCAACAACAATAGCTTTGAACTCTGATCTGAGGGTCTGATAGGGTGAAGGGGCAGTTGTCCCTTAGCACAACCCCTGCTGCCCTATTGGGACCTGTGAACAGCTCACATACCTGCTTTCCAGCAGTCACATGAAATAGGGATTTCAGATGGGACTATGAAGCCATCTTGAGAGTAGCAGATGGTGGATTTGGACTGAGATCTGCCTGGTTGCCATCTATCTCTTCATTTTCTGATGTGCTTGTTCAGTAAGGAAATGTCCCTTGTGTGACAACTCTGGATCAAGCACTTAGAGTGATAAGAGTGACAGTGGGAGACAAGAGAGGCATGACCTCTGCTCTTAGAGGCTGGGAAGAGAGCAATACAGCAGTAAACTAGGGAGGTGTTCCTTAATGGTGGTTGGAAGGGAATAGGTGAAGCTTTGGGAGCCCAGCTTGGCAGCTTTTGGACATCAGGGAAAACTCTCTGGGGGTAGGCCATAAACTGCCTTCTCCAAGCTTGTATTGAGAGACTACAAATAAGATGAATCCAGATGTTGACATGTGCTAGAAAGAAAACAGAAAGTCCCAAGAGTGTTTGTGGCTGCAAATTCATGTGCCACACAGATAATGAGGTACCCTTGGGACTGTGGTCTCAGTTGGTCACCCCCTCCTAGCTTGGGCCAGTGACTGGCATACCTGCATTGCTAGCATTTGGGCAAGTGGATCCCTTGTTAATGCAAGTCAGGTGGACCCAGATGGAGAATGATTAGATTCTATGTGAGCCTTCGGGACTTCTAGTAGAAAGGCACAGCTCTTTAGAAGATGGCCACAGTGCCTCTGCCAATGGCTAGAACACTCTGCTGCTGCCTAGTGGGCAAGTGGCAGGACTTCCCCAAATAACAAAGAGTACCTTGGCTCTGTACCTCCTTGGGTGTGTTCCTAGGTGGAGCACATCAGGGAAGGGAGGAAAGTTCTCCTGCAGCAGGGTCTGGGACACAGGCTTCTCCCTCGAAGACAGTGGGTCACTTCTCAGCACCTGGCCTGTTTGGCCTAGGCAGCTTTTGCTCTGAACTTGTCAGATGTGGCTCTGGCATGGCCAGACAGCTGTTTCCTACTTAGGGGTTGGGGACATTCATCATCCAGGCCATGAAGCAGCTTGCAGTCCTTTACAAAAGCCTTCCTAGAAATTGGTGTCTGTCATGAGTCTTCCAGAAATGGCTGCATTTCCCTATACATTCATGTTTAAGTTTTCTTCTGAAGGGCCATTCCCTAGGGAGTGATAGTCCTTGTCACAGAGCAGCTGGTTGCTATCTTCTCCTTATCTCCCGGTTCTGTTTTTACTGTAGTGACTGTGTGTTGCTTTTGTAATAAGGAAAAATGAGAAAATATGTGATAACATTATTGTTATGGCCCTGTGATTTGTTGTAATGATTTCTGTTTTGCACCACATTTACTTTGCCAATTTTTCCTTGTTGTAGACGTCACTGGACAGCAATAATTGGCCAAAAAAGAATCAAAAGCAAAAAAGGGGGGGGGCAGGGGGACACAAAGCTTTTTTTTTTGAGAGAGAGAGAGAGAGAAAATTTTAATATTTATTTTTAGTTTTCAGTGGCTACAACATCTTTGTTTGCATGTGGTACTGAGGATCGAACCCAGGCCACACGCATGCCAGGCGAGCACGCTACCGCTTGAGCCACATCCTCAGCCCACAAAGCTTTTTTTTTTTAATATTTATTTTTAATTGTAGTTGGACACAATACCTTTATTTATTTATTTTTATGTGGTGCTGAGGATCAAACCCAGGGCCTCACATGTGCTACATGAGTGCTCTACCGCTGAGCCACAATCCCAGGCCGGGACACAAAGCTTTTTACTAAACTGACCCAAGAGCCAAAGGAGGCGTGAAGCATTGGAACAATTTTGAGTAGTGCTTCAAGGGCCAGTCACCGGCAATGGGCTTTAGAGCCAACCTTCCTGGGCACATTGTGTGCTGGTGATGCACAGGTGGGGTTTGTTTGGGCACGTGGGGCTAATCCCTTCTCCCTGTCAAGAGACCTTGGTCAACTTGACTCTCAGGGCTGGACAACCAACACTTTGATTTGGGTTCTCTTTGGCAGGTTCTGGGTACCCATGAGGTCCCTCGGAGGAGTATCTCCTCAGTAAGTACCTGCCCCCCAGGGGCGTGTGTGCCTATATGTGAGTATAGTTGTCCCTATGTTGGGGGGTGCACAAGTTTGTGTGTGCAATTGTGTGCACATGCAGTGTGTGTATACACATATGCATGCACAAGTGCCTGTGCCTCTTTGCTCCCTGCCTTTGTGTCCTTCCCTCTGAGGCACAGTCTCCAGAGGTTACTCATACCTCACCCTTCCCTAAGTTGTGCTAGACATTGTCCCCAGGGAAAAGACCCTGGTTTCTCCATCACAGCCTTGTTCTTCCAACCTTGGCTGATCCATGTCTTCTTCCTTTCTGTCTTCCCTCTAGCAACAAACAATTGTGAGTATTCTTCTTTTCCTCTGAGTTAGATTTGGCGGGGGGGTGTTTTAGTTGCTTTGGGTGGGCCTGGGGGCTGCTGCTGACCAGGGACTCAGATGATCAGTCCTGTTTGGGATGGGGGTACACCAAGCTAGAACCACAAGGTTGGCCAGTGTAGTGTATGGAATCATTGCTGGTGGGAAGAAAGGAACTAGCTTGAGCCCCTGGGTGCTGAGCCAGTGAGCATGTGGGAATATCCAAAGGCCCGTCTTTACCCTCTCCATCTTTCCAGCCTCCGTCGGCTAAGTATGGTGGACGGCACACAGTGACTATGATTCCAGGAGACGGTATTGGGCCAGAGCTCATGTTGCATGTTAAGTCCGTGTTCAGGTATGGAGACCTCAGGCCACTTTTTCTTGCCTTGACCTCTAGAGAAGGTTGTGCCCTAGCTCCAACCAGAGGGCCCTGAGAACTTTGTCCCAGTAAGGGCAGTGAGCCCAGAAGCCACTAGCCAGGACTTTTCCTGAGCATCTAGCAAGGTGGTGACAAGAAAGCCTCCATTCCCACCAGGCTGGCTTGATATGGGAGGGTGGCAGTCCTGCTCACTGCATTGTAGAGCTCAAGCATGTCCTTTTCATTTGGCGTGGGTGGGCCTAGTCCCCTCTCAGCCAGAGCCTGGGCATGTTTCCTGGAAGAGGTATGGGAGGCCCTGAGCCAGCCACCCTGACCCAGCTCTGTCCCAGGCATGCATGTGTGCCAGTGGACTTTGAAGAAGTGCATGTAAGCTCCAATGCCGATGAGGAGGACATCCGCAATGCCATCATGGCCATCCGTCGGAACCGTGTGGCCCTGAAGGGTAAGCTCAAGGGCCAGGTAGGGTTCTACACTGAGTTCTTTTATGTCCAAACCTTTTTTGGGGGTGGGGGGGTGTACCAGGGATTGAACCCAGAGGCACTTAACCACTAAGCCACCGCCCAGCCCTTTTTATTTTTTATTTTGAGACCAGACCTTGCTAATTTGCTGAGGCTGGCCTCAAATTTGTGATCCTCCTGCCTCAGCCTCTCGAGTCACTGGGATTACAGGCCTGCACCACCATGCCCAGCCCAAGCTGACTCTTGTGAGGACCCATGGCTCCAATTTTGGGATTTTTCTGACTAGAGAGGACTCTTGTGCTTAGAGTCTGAATAGAAACTTCTGCATGCCTGCTGGTGCTGTGACTCTGATGAGGATTCTGGTAGCCCCTCCTGAGTCTGTCTTGGTTGGGCTCAGGTCCTCTGCATTCTTCAGCTCATCATCTGCTCTGTAAGGATATTGTGAGCAGTGATGAACCAGGTGGAGCCGTAGGTGCTGGTAGTCAAGTTGAAGAGTATACATGGCAGCTACAGAGTGCCCTAGGCACTCTGGGTGAAGGAAGTCTGGGCAGGGGCAGATCAGAGAAGCAGGTGTTCCTGTTGGGCTGTCAAAAAGGCTTTTCTGCTGGTTAACCTCTGTCTACCTTCTCTTGGTGGCTGCTGGCCTCTGGGACTCACTGGGCCCCTGCTTCCATTCTGGGTGCCTGGGCCACGGGACAGAGCCTGGCGTTTTCCAGGCAGACCCTGACTGCCCCTGAGCCTAGGAGTAATCCCATTTAAAGTCACTTTGATGGTTTTGGCTTGGCCAGCCAGCCTGCTGATAAGCAGGAATGGTCACTTTCTATCAGGGCAGATCCTGGGCAGGGAGTGGTAGGGTCTCCTTGCCAGCTGCCAATTGGATTTATTCATTCATTTAGTAAATATTTACTGAATGCCTGCTATGAGCCAGATGCTTTTCTGGGTCCTCAGAATCCATTGGTAAAAAACCACACATGCATCTATCCTCATTGGAAGTTACATCCTAGTGTTCTGTGAAGTATTCTGATGCTGAAAGCCATCTTTTCCTCCAGTTGGAGCAGCCTTTAGTTCACATCCCCTGGGCCAAGCAAAGGAATTTGGGGCCAGGAGCCCCTCTCCAACCTGCCTGTCTTGTTTTTGTTCTGTAGGTAACATCGAAACAAACCATAACCTGCCACCATCTCACAAATCCCGAAACAACATCCTTCGGTGAGAGCCAAGTACATGGGGTGGTGGCTCAACGAAGCCCAGGGTTGGCTGTGCCAGCAGAGTCATACCTCCAGCCAGCTGCCATTCAGGCCTAGCCTTCCTCTTTCTCTGTCCCCCTTGTAGCACAAGCCTGGACCTCTACGCTAACGTCATTCACTGTAAGAGCCTGCCAGGAGTGGTGACCCGTCACAAGGACATAGACATTCTCATTGTGCGGGAAAATACAGAGGGCGAGTACAGCAGCCTGGAGCATGAGGTGCGCAAAACCAAGTGACCGGGGCTGGGGCTGTAGCTCAGTGTAGACCATTTGCCTAGCATGTGTGAGCACTGGGTTCAATCCTCAGCACCACATAAAAATAAATAAATAAATAAATAAATAAATAAAATAAAATAAAGGGTATTGTGTCCAACTACAGCTAAAAAAAATTTAAAAACAAAACAAAAAACAGGTGACCCTGTTGGATTATGGAAATCTGGGGATATGCTCAGTCAGGGTCAATGTTGAAGAGAGACCTTAAGGAACCACGAAGAGGTGGTCCCCAAAGGACAAGGGTTGTACCTAAGGGAGAAGCCAGAAGTACTCAGCAATAGGGCTATGTCCCATAGCACCCCCCATTGTGCTGTTCACTAATCTCCTGGCCCTTTCTCAGAGCGTGGCAGGAGTGGTGGAGAGCCTGAAGATTATCACCAAGGCCAAGTCCCTACGCATTGCCGAATATGCCTTCAAGCTAGCCCATGAGAGTGGGCGCAAGAAAGTGACAGCTGTGCACAAGGCCAACATCATGTATGTAACCTGATCCTCCTACCCACTCTTTAGTCATCCCTCAGGCAGTTGGAGTGGCCTGTTTTCAGGGACTCGGGGTCTAGGACAATGTCTACCCTCCAAGGGTCCACACCCAAGAGTGTATCCTACTGTCCCTGAAGTCTTTGGCTTCACCACAGAACACACTTAGTGGGACAAAATTATGCACATTTTGCAAATGGAGGGGTAGGTTAGAATTTAACCTTCAGGCCCTCTACATGCCCTGTTCCTCTGTCTGTGATGATGGATCAAGCTGGTGTCCTTTGTCCCTCCTCATCTCCCTCCAGGAAACTGGGTGATGGGCTCTTCCTCCAGTGCTGCAAGGAGGTGGCTGCCCGCTACCCCCAGATCACCTTTGAGAACATGATTGTGGACAACACCACCATGCAGGTAGTGGATCCACCTAACTCCACAACTTCCTGCCCTGGGCACCCTGGGCTTCTCACACTTAGCCCCCTCCTTGCTCCACAGCTAGTGTCCCGGCCCCAGCAGTTCGACGTTATGGTGATGCCCAATCTCTACGGCAACATTGTTAACAACGTCTGCGCAGGGCTGGTTGGAGGTCCAGGCCTGGTGGCTGGGGCCAACTATGGCCATGTGTATGCTGTGTTTGAGACGGTGAGTGCCTGGATGCCACCATCTTTCTCTTACAGCAGCCTTGTTGGATTGTTAATTCACACCCCTCATAATGGTGTGTAAACATGAGCACTATCTAAATCCCAAATATTTCCAGCCCCCACAAAAGAAAACACTTCATCCATGAGCAGTCTCTCCTCATTTCCTCTCCCCAGCCCCTGGCATCCCTTCATTTGCTTTCTATCTAGAGTTATGCCTCTGCTAGGCACGTCACATGAGTGGAATCATCTGCCCCTATGCCCTTGATGTTTTCCATCCACTCTACTTTGTCCTTCCTTTTCCAGGCTACAAGGAACACAGGCAAGAGTATTGCCAATAAGAATATTGCCAACCCCACAGCCACACTGCTAGCAAGTTGCATGATGCTAGACCACCTCAAGTAAGTGATGTCCCAGTACCCAGCCATGAGCCTCCTGGCCAGCCCTCTAGGCCATGACAACCAAAGTCTGGCTCTTCCCTCTCCTAGGCTTCATTCTTATGCCACCTCCATCCGCAAAGCTGTCTTAGCATCTATGGACAACGAAAATGTAAGGCTCCTCTTGTCCCTTCCTGGCCCCATGCTGTGGCCTTCCTTCCTCTAACCCATGTTGAGCTGCTGTGACCAACCGGAGAGGCTGAAGTCAGTGACCAGCATTGACTGTGTTTCCCAAGGGGAGGGTGGTACCAGGTAGGCTTCTGGGCCTTAGCTGGTACCCCTACCCTCCTGGTGGCATTTCCAGGCCCTGCAAGCTACAGGAGACAGTGGGCAACCCTAATTCACCCTGAGGTGGGGGCAGGTGTTGACATGCCTGATGTACCTAAACTTCCCATCTTCTACAGATGCACACCCCAGACATCGGGGGCCAGGGCACTACCTCCCAAGCCATCCAGGACATCATCCGCCATATCCGCATCATCAACGGCCGGGCTGTGGAGGCCTAGGCTCTCCCTGGGGCTGTCAGCCCATTCCTAGATCCGCCTTCTCACTCCAGCACCCCCAGTCAGCTTGGTAGGCAGACCCCAAAATAAACCCACTTCTGCCCCAGAACTCAGCCACGTGACTCCCTTACTCCAGGATACTGGTATTTCTGTTCACGCTTTATTAAGAAAGAAACACATACTTTCCCACCAGAGGATCTTCCAGGAGAATTGTGGGCAGAGAAGTTCTGAGACATGGGCCTGGCCCTAGCATTTCTCTCTCCTGCCAGGGGTGGGTAGAAAAGCTGGCATTCAGCAGGGTAGGAGAGGGTAGCTCCTACAGGGTGGTGAGAGTCACCCCACTTTCCCTTAAGGCACTGAGAGTTAGGGGCAGAGCCAGGCCCAACCCTGTTGCCTACAGCTACAGTAGGACCTAGGGGTTGAGCCAGGGATGCTGGAGGCAGTCGGCGGCGCTGGCCCGCTTTTCAGGGATGTACTCCATCATGGGCAGCAGGAAGGCGCTGAACTGTGTTGCCTGTTCCAGGGGCCACTCATACTTCTCCATGAGCACCTCATACAGACCCCAGTGCTTGAGGTTGTGGATGTGCCGCAGCTCTCCTGGGGGGCCAGGCAGCATTAGGCACTTGGACTCTGCTAGGAAAGTCTCTGGCTTTCTGGGAACCAGTGTTCCTTCTATGTAAGAACCCAGGGTCCATGTCCCACCCTTTCCCCAGCCAGGTGGCCTGAGCCCACTTGGTCCCCACCTCTTCGGTTGAAGAACTCTCGAGAGTAACGGCCTGACAGAGCAAAGGCTGGGGGGATGTCACCTAGAAGCTCCACGATGTGAGCAATGTGGTCTGTGGGCAGAGAGGAAGTTGGCTAGTAGGCAGGTGGGCAGGAGGCCCCAAGGCCCCAAGGCTGAGCCCAGGGCCTGCCTCCCCTACCCTCATCACGACTGTAGTCTTCTCCTGAGTGAGGCTCAAACAGGTAGTCACCAGTGGCCAGCTCGAAGGCCTGGAATGAATGGGGAAGGTGAAGCTGCTGGCAGGTAGACTGGCCCTGGGCGTGAGGGCAGCCCAGTCAGCGTACCATGCATGCTGTGCTCCAGATGTCTGCCGGGGGCCCATACTCAGCACCGATCAGTACCTCCACAGCCCGGTACTGCCGAGTTTGGATGTCTTCAGTGAAGTGCTTGTGCTGGAGGCAACGGGATCCCTGGGGACAGGAGCTGGGGCCCAGGATGGCCTGCCCCATAACCCCCAGTCCTACCTCTGGTTCATGCACCCAGGAATTTTGTGGAGCCTACTCTGATCCTTAGGGTCCCCAGGTACGCCAGAATATGTATATATATGTGTGTGTGTGTATATACACACACGCACGTGCGCGCGCGCACACACACACACACACACATATTTTCATCCCCTCCTGGTGGGCTGAGGCTGGATCCCTTCCCAGTGACCTCTTGCCATGGGCCCATTTCTGCTGACTGCACAGGACCCTGCTGGTTGGGGCCAGCAGCAGGAAGCAACCCTCAGCTCTGTTTGAGGGTACTGCTATGTGAGCCATGGCTATACCAATGGGTCCTGTGCCCCACAGGCCCAGTTAGGGCTCCCCAAGAACAGCTTGCCTCCCCAAGGTGCTCATACCACCCAGCAGGCGTTGCCCAGATCTGCAATCTTGATCTTGATCTTGTCTGCATTTTGGGGCTCCAGGGGGTTCACCAGGAGGTTTGAGGCACCAAATGGTGCTGGGAATGAAAAGGGAGAGAAGTTGAATGGCTCAGCTCCTCCTGTCCCTGCCTGCCCACTGCCTCCTGTTCCCCACACTTACTGCTGGGTGACAGGAGTCCCCCTGTTTCACGCTGATTGGACGAGCCTGAAAGGATGGAGCAGGAGGCCGGCGAGAACAGGGAGCCTGAGAAGCCAGAGGTCTGCGAGCTGGGGCTGAGACTGCGGTCACCCCCAGGGGCAGGGGAGGTGGAGGCTGGGGAGGTGCCAGCCCTGGTGCCCCCAGGATGGCAGCCTGAGGAAGAGGTAGAGCCGCTGCCCCCCTCTAGTCTCGATCCAGAATCTGGGGAGATGGGGCAGAGGTCCTCATGAGCAGACAGCCCATGGCCTGTGCACACACTTGGCAATCCAGTGCCCTCCCGGCCACTCACCCTCAGCCTGGGCTGCAGCCTCCATGGCCTCCAGCCTCTGTAGGTCTCGCAGCCGCTCCTCCAGCAGCCGCTTCTGCTGTTTCCGCTTGCGCCTCATCTTCTTCCTCTTATTTTTGGACAGCTTACCAGTCTGCCGCCAGAGTCAGGGTCACCCCCAGGGTTCCCATCCCCCAGCCAGTCTGACAGTGGAAGCTTCCCTGTCCAGCCCAGAACCCAGGAGTCCCCTGGATGGCAGAATATGGTGCCACTACCCTCTGTTCACCCCTTGACCTCACCCATCTCCTTACCTCCCCTCCTGTCCCTGCACTTATTCCCTAAAGCTCTGTAGGTTGGAGTGGACATCATGGGCCTGCCCCTAGACTGTTCTCTCTCCCCTTCCAGGCCCAGCAAGGGTGGCCTGAAGTAGCCAACAGAGGAAGATGCAGCATCTTTCCACTGAGGCAGTGTTGGGCCCAGTGACCACAAAAGGCAATTTGGAGTACATGACCCACCCTGTGTATCACTGGTACCTGGGCCACCCAATGTTTTTGGCCAGCTCTGAGGAGATGGCCTCCCCTGACATGGATGGGGAGAGGGCACAGGTAGAGAGGAGTGCCCGAACTTACCAAGACCTCCTGGGGGGCAGTGCTGACTGGGGATGCAGGTGGGGTGGAAGGAGAAAAATAAGTGGAGATTCAGTCAGGGACTGAGTGCCTAGAGGCCTGGACCCGGCCCTGCACATGCCTGTGATACCTGTGGAGCGGGATGGGGGTGGGGCCCCTGACTGCTGCCACTCTGTGGCCTCTGCTGCCAGGCGCCTGATGTAGGCATCACCCACACACAGCAGGATGTTCTCAGGCTTGATGTCCGTGTGGATGATCTTACATTTGGTGTGGAGGTAGTCTAAGCCATGCAGCACCTGGGAAGAGCCACATCTGAACTCCAGCATCCCCTCCCAGGCTAGGCCAGGCAGCTGGGGGGATAGCACTCACCTGCCTCACAATGCTCTTCACACAGGGCACAGGCAGACCCTGGTAGTTGGACTTGATGATCCATTTGAGGAGCTGGTGGCCCAGGACCTCCAGCACCATGCACACATCTGGGCACTGGAGTGAAGGGTGGCCAGCGAGCACACAGCTGGGGCACACGCCTTGCCCACCCTCAGCTGAGAGGGGAGAGCAACAAAGCTCAGGCTCCACAGAGGTGGAGGAGGCAGTGCTTGCCATAAGCAGTCTTGGTGGCCACCCCTGTCTTGGTGTTATTATTTACAGTGTCCCTGTCACCATCAGAAGTGTGCCAGTGGGATGGTATGTTTTATGGTCATCCTAGAGATGGCACTGGAGGAGCAGATATGCAGTCCTCAGGCTAACCCTACTCCTATGCAGAGATAGGCCTTTTTGGGTAACCCCAGCTATTTGGGTGTAATTCAAATCCACAGATCATCAGCAAGCTGGTTACCCACTCTCATGCCCCCCATAGCAATACAAATGCCCAAAGGGGTGAGACTATTTTGTAGTGTTCCTGGGAGAAATAAAGCCCTTTGGTACAGATCAGCAACTGAGGCCCTGGTAGTTAGGAAGGCAGAAGCTGGCCCTTTGCTGCTCTGCTCATCCTACAAAGGATACGAACTCCATTCACCCCCGAGATCCTGAAGTCATCAATGAGCTGAACGATGGTCTCTCTTTTGGGGTCACTGGGGTCACTGTCCCGGACCTGGAACAAAAGCCAAGGGGCCATAGATGCCTTCAACCCACCCCTCACCAGTTGCTCCCCTTGGCAGTCCCTGGATGGAAGTACAGGGATAGTGTCTGGCCCCACTTTATGCCCTAGCTGGGTCCCACTGGAAGGAAGAAAAGACAACCCCTTCACCCCGTGTGATCTTCAAGGTTCTCCTACTGCAGAGCCAGCTGGAGCCTGTGCCTCTTGTTGTCCTGTCCCACTTAGCAGAGCCCCAGCAGGCCTTGCACCCACATTGCCAGGCCCAAGGCAGTTCCCAGGAAGCCAGAGCGGTAGGGAGGTGCCTCACACATTTCAGGAGCTTGATCTCATCCACAGCTGTCTCAGTGTAGTGCCCAGCACTCTTCACTACTTTCAGGGCTACGAAGCGCTTGCGCCTGCAATACCAAGACCCTTGTCAGCTGCCGGCCATAGTGGTGGCCTCAACCAAGCCTAAAACAGGATCCCAGCAAGCACCGGGTCCTGGGGACGGAGGGGCCACTCACTGGATGTCCCAGCAGAGCCAGACGGTAGAGAAGTGGCCCCAGCCCAGTTTTCGCACCACGTGGTACCGCCCATTGAACAGGTCACCGATCTTCACTGGGTAGTAGCCACCTGCCAAAGAGAGCCAGTAGATCATCGTGGGGGTGTCTCCCTTCCTGTTCCCCAGGACAGCCATCCCTACCAGCCACCCAGCACACGTAAGCCCAGCCTTCAGGCACCCTTTTCCTTCCAGGTTGACCTGAGCTCCTTCATTGGCAATCTGGCCACATGTACCCAAGATCGGCCTCACCCTTGCAGTAGTCCTTGGGGTCTTCCTGTTCCTCGTCATCAGAGCCCAGGAGCCCCTGAAGCATTGGAGGTGCTGGTGTAGCTGGGGCTAGTTCAGAGCCTGAGGACTCAGGCCCACAGGAGGCTTGTGAGCTGTGGGTGGAATGGGCGGGCAGTGAGTGCTTGAGGAGCCAGGGACCCTGGACGGCTGGGCTAAGCCCTACCTGCTGCTGCTGCCGCCACTGTCGCCTCCACCGCCGCTGCCGCCCGCGCTGGCGCTCATCCCAGCCTTGTGGCCCGCGGCTCCGGTGCCCTGGGCGGCTGCTCCTGTGGGGCCTGGCTCTGGCCCGGGCATTTATAACCTCGGCTGCTGATCTCACTCGCCTTTATAAATAGCCTCCCAGCTGCTCAGCTGTGGGCAAGGTATGTGGTGCGGGGAGGGGGCGGCGCGGCTGACGGTGGCCCGGAGAGCCCGGTCCCCAGGCTGAGGTCCCCTGCTTCACCCACGCCCCAGGGGAAAAGGGGGCCGCTGTGCCGGGTACACATAGAGACTCAGTCCCTAAGCCGAGTCCCCATGCCCCAGGACCAGCTGGGGGGGCCTTTACATGAAGACAAAGCAATCCAGAGCCCAGACCAAGGCGCCTGCACTCCAGGGCTGGCTGCTGGGGGCCTCCCATGAAAGGATGTAGTGACCAGGTCCTCAGGCTGAGCTCCACCCCTTCATACTGCAGGCCACCAGCAGTGCTTTTGGAACTTTTGGAGCATTCTGGGAGTCCTGGAGGTGACCTCTCCCAATCCTACTAGGAACCCATTCTCTGCCCACTCCTAGTCCTGTTTCCAGTTTTTTATAGGCCCCTAATAGAGTGGGAGCCCAGATCTCCCCTGAGTGTTGTGTCTCTGGGGTCCCCCTGACTGAGGGAGTCAGGGGCGGGACCTGAGAGTGACTCATTCCTCCTCCAGAATTGTACCACTGTGGAATGCATGACCTCCCTTCCAGCTCCAGGGCTGGCTACCTGGCTTTCCTGTTTCTGCCAACATTTGTCAGGTGCCCACTGTGGGCCAGCACTGACCTGTCTACCTTGGGGAACAAACAGCCCACAGCCACTGCCCAGGGGCTGGAAGGCAACAGAAGGAGCCTGTGGCCTTAAAGCTGCATCCTGAGAGACCAAGAGGAATTTCGTCCCCAGAAGTATCCAGGGCAGTACAGAGCACATCTATGGCTGAGGCCTGCAGACAGAATGTGCTGGAGACCTCCACATGCTGGCCATGCTTTAGCATGGCTAGGAGCTGGGGGGATAAGAGGCTTTGGTGGCTGAGGGGCCCTGCCTGGAATCTGTGGGTGCCAGTGTAGGGTTCCAGTGAGGCTGACAAGCACTTTTGCTTTTAGAAAATGCACTGGATGCTTCTAGAAAAGAATAGAAGGGCTAGACTGGAGGTAGGAGGCAAGTTTGGGACTGCTGGGGCTGTCTGCAAATGAAGTGGAGGGGGCTGGGCAGTGACAGTGCTTATTCGAGATGAGAGACGTTTGGTCCAGTGTCCTGTCAGGAAAGAACTGATATGGGCAAGACAGGCATAGATGGAAGGGGCAGCTTTCTTGTGGGCCCTGGGGAGGTTAGGAAGGGAATGGGGAGGGCAGAGCCCTCCTGGAAGGCCTAATAACTTTTTCCCCTTGGGTAGCACTCACAGCTATGGGGCCATGGGGGTACCAGCCCAAGGAGCATGAAGTTGACTCTTGCAGCCACTGCTGGGGATTGGACTTTTTTTTTTAAAGACGTATTTCTGTTTTATTTCCAGATTCTCCAGTAAGCAAATAAATACAGTTGGAGAAGGGGTAGGGATTGCTATAAATTAGAAATAAGCCCTGTGGTGAGGCAGTGGGCACTCAACACCACCCAAGTTCTGCGGGCCCTCCTCAGTCAATGGCTCGGTTCAGGGACCATAAGGTACTGTGGTGACGTGTTCTCTAAGCTCACAGGTCAGTCACTTTGTTTTCCACCAGAGCAGCAACCTGCTGCAGGCGGCAGGCTAGCTGCATCTTCTGGCCCACGGGGTCCTCCTCCAAGGCACTGATGATCTGCCAGGGCAGAGGAGGGTATCCACCTGAGGCCCCACCCCTGTGATCATTGACCCGGGGCTGCCTAGGAGTTCAAGAAACACTGCTGGGGCCTCCCGGGAAATCCAGAGGAAAGTCAAGCCCATGACTCAACCTGGGCCCTTCCAGCCAAGGCTGGCATCCCTTCCTTCCCTCTGCCTGGATTAAGCCACCCCCAGGGACATTCTGTGAGCCTCTGTCTTGGCTTCACTTCATTCCAGGTACCTGCCTCCTCCCCTCCATAGTGTTCTGGGCCTCACCTGGTCATGATACCTGTGGATGTGGTTGTAGAGTTCCTGCAGAGCCTCCAGACAGTGGGAAACAGAGGTGTAGTTCTGGGGACAGCATGTAGCGGGCAGTGAGGCCTCAGCCCTGGTCTCAAGCCCCAAGGCTCTCCCCTTGCTCTGCCAATGAATCCCCCAAGATATGGAGGGCAGTGCCCCTGGGCCATGTCTCACCCCAGAAAGCTCAGCCAGAGCAGAGTTCATCTCCTGGTAGCTCACCGGAGGGCTCTGGCGAATGTCTGCGTAGTATCTGGAGAAGCGCACAGAGTTAGGGGCGGGCACCCTCCAGGGCCTCCCCCCAGCCGTAACGGCTTCGACACTTACTTCTCCACCATCTGCTTATAGCGAGGGATCTCCCGGGCATAGAGCAGTTTGTTCACTGGGGAATCCTTTTCAAGACAGAGGAAGGGCTAGGAGTGAGCAGGCGTGGGGACCCAACAGCACCCCTGCCTCTGCACAGGGCTCACTGCTCCATTCCACCCGGCTCAGGCTCTGCACAGGGCACCGTGGCTTCCCCCACAGGGTTTTCCTCTCCAGTCCCTGCCAGCTGGCGCTGGCTACTGCAACCTCACCCGGCCCACTTTATGCTCCGAGAGGGTACAGGAGTCGATGAAAGTCTGTGCAATGACGGCCAGGATGGCATCCACGTTGTCCGACACCCGCACGTCAAAGAGCAGTTGTGGGTTCTTCAAGGCATTCACCCAGAACCGCAGCAGGAGGCTGGGGACACAGGCCAGGTGTGGGGATGAGACCGGGTCACTGTGGCCTCCTCCTCCATGCACTGCAGCCCACCCTTTCCATGCAGATGTCACTGGAGCCATCCATGCAGGCAACCAGGGACCCCAGCCTTGCTCTTCTCTAGGAGCTGTCCTCATGGCCCAGGTGACCTTCCTGTGAGTCCATGCTGGGGGGTGAGGGGTTGTTGAAAATCAGGCTGGGTTCCTGTCTTGAACCTGCTGTCCTGTTCTGGGAATGTCCTTGTTCCTCTGGGATTCAATGGATCAGTAGCAATAAGTAGGGGGTCGACAGGAAAGGCACCTGTTTGTCTTCCAGATGTGCAGGGTCTCTGGGTCCTCAATGTCATGCTTTTCTGCTAGCTCATCCAGGAAGTCAAACAGGTACTTGACAGCAATGGGCACAGGCCGGTTCACGCTGAGAATGGCTTGGAAGGTGTCATCCACAAACTTCTGCAGTGTACCCTGTAAGCAGGACAAGAGGGCCCTTCTGCCTTTCTAGGACCATTCCTGCTCCCAAGCCTCCCCTATGGCCTGGCTCCCCTGGCTACACTAACCTTCATGGACAGCAGGCGGGTGAGGTAGATTTCTGGGATGGCCTTGGCCCGGGCCCGTTCCCGTTCCCGTTCCCGGAGGCTGCTACGCCGTGCCTTGGCCCCTTCTGGCTCCTCGGTGGCCTTCACTAGGTGCCAGAGGCGCACCCCGCCATCGTCACCATCCTCCAGCATGGGAATGTCTAAGGGCATGGGAACCTGGCCTCAGTCCCATGCCCCTTCCCCCATCCTGCACTAGTGGCCTGGGAGGTGCCGTGTGCTCCCTGCTCAGCCTGACACCTCGTGGCTCTAGAACTTCCAGGCCTTGGCTCAACCTGGAGCTTTGGCTTGCCTGCTGAGCAGGTGGGGCAGGCAACCCAGGCAACGGAGCTGACACGACCAGGACTCCTTCCTGCCCAGCTTTGGGCTCTGTGAACCTAGCCTAGTGTGGACTCCAGTCCCCTGGTGCTTCTGGGGCAGATAGGTGTGTCTGGGCCTGAGGAACTCACCTTCTCCTGAGGGGCAATTCTGAGCCAGGCTCTGGGAAACAGCGCCACCATTGTGCAGCTGAGGGATGAGCCCCACTGTTGCTCCATCTGGGACCTGGTGGGGAACAGGGAAGCAGAGTTTGGTCCCTTTACTGCCATCTGATTCCTAAGGCAGGGACCTGTCCCCTACTCCCAACCAACTTGCCCTGTCCCTGCCCACCCAGCACCTTGTAGTGCTGTAGAGTATTGAGTCTCTTCCAGTGGTTCTGAGTCACTGAGGTCAAGTCCTCGTCTGACAGGGTTAGGTGACCAGCCAGGCCTGAGCGCCACTCTGGGGAGACCCAGGGAAGCCCATCAGCCCACAACATGTTTCCCATCTGTAGTAAGGCAGAGCTGAGTGGCTATATGTGGTGGAGGCAGTAGGGATGGGGGAGGTGGGGCTGTCTCTCTCACCAAGGTCTAGGGCATGCACTGAGGGCCTCTGGGAAAAGGGGGTGCCTTTGTAGACTTGGTCCAACACCTTCTCCTTGACTTGGGTGATGGTGTCCGTGTCAAGCACCCGGGCTGGCAAACGCTGCATCTCGCTGCTCCCTACTGCGGCGCCAGCCCCAGGGCCCACAAGCACCATCAGTGTCAAGGGCCGGAATTCCACATCCTCCCGCAGCAGGTGGCTGTCATTCAGGGTCCGTTTCGCCTTGCCTGTCACAGCATCCACAGGGCCCTTGTCCACCTGGTACTGGATGGCGCGGAAGAGCATGTACAGGGGCTCACCAGCCACTTCCTGCAACCATCAAGGTGGACCAGCATTGGCCACAGGGCCAGGATGCTCAGTGATGCCCAGCAGAGGGCATAGCAGGAATGAAAGGGGCCATCAGCACCCCAGAACAAGGATAGATGGACAGGTAGCTGCACTGGGGACCCCAGCCCTTTTCGCCTCTGCCTCTCATCTGGCTCTGGAAGGGGTTTGAGTCTTCCCCTTTCCAGAACTCCCTCTGGCTGGGCCTCACAGTAGGCCCACAGGACAGGGAGATAACTCTCATGACCCTCATTTGATGGCCCATCCTGAGTCCTGCACAAGGCCCCTGGGGAAAGTTAGGCACTGGTCAGAGAGGCTATAGGAAGGCAGCATCCCCCAAGAGCTGGGGGGCAGGAGAGTGCCATCAGGGCTGGGGGCAGGCTGCACAGTGACCCTCACCCTCAGGAAGGTATAGAGACAGATGGACAGCCAGTTGGTGAGCAGCTTCTCCACCATGGTCTCTGTCCTGTGGGGAGAAAGCCCCAGGTCTCCTATGAGAATGTCCTTCAACTCCTCTTCTAAATCCCTCCTGCCTCCACCACCCCAGGGCAGAGCCTGCCCAGGGTGGGGACAGATCACTAGTGAGCCCCTGTCCCTGCCACTATGCCCAGGTCAAGACCAACCTGCGTAGCATGAGCTTGGGGTTCTTGTGTACATAATGAGCCGCCAGGTCACCAAGCAGAGTCCTCATGATGTCGGTCAAGTACTCAAGCTTGCCATGCAGCACCAGGGACAGGAGCGAAGCTACGTGGCAGCGGTCCCTCTGGGAGAAGCCAGGCTGCTCCTCCAGGGTGTGGATGAGCTACGCAGGAAGCTGGTGTTCACTCTGGGAAGCCCCATGCATTCCTCCGCTTCTATGCTCACACCCCTCTCCCAGCCTGGCCTGGCCTGTCCCCAGCCCCACCTCTTTGCCCATAGAGGCCTTCTTCCCTGCCTGCCCCCAAGCACCCACGAGGCCCTCACTGTGAGGAGGAAGAGTTTGCTGTTGAGCAGGTTGGAGAGCTGCGTGAGGCCCTGGCGAACAGTGGCACGGCGGCCTTCTTCCTCAAGCCCCTCGAGTTCTGGAAGCAGTGGGCAGCCACCATGGCCAGGAAAGAAGGCGCGCTCAGCGAATGTGTGGTAGTCCAGGAAGGGGATCCCACTGGCCTCAAGGTCGCTGCTGAGGTCTGTCATCTCAGTCATCAGGTCTGTAGGCCAAGAGCCACCAAGATGTGGGCTCAGGCCCAGTGGGCCCTCTGCCCCCCCTTCCCTGCCCCCACACACCTGTGAACTCCTTGCGGCACTGGTCACCCACACCTGTCTCCAGGTTCTCCAGCTGCACCAGCACCTTCTGGTAGTCCCGCAGGGCCTGCTTGCTCTTGTGCCTGCAGCCAAGGGCCACGTGTCAACCACAGCCCTAGGCCAGGATAGCCATCGACCCAGGTCCTGCCACGGGGCATCCTTGCCAGCAATGAAGAGGGAAGTTTGTGCAGGTTTGTACAGGGGGAGAGCCCTCCTCACCTGTACATGAGGGTGAGGAGGAGCACAGCGGCGATCAGCACGGCAGCACCCATGCCCAGGCCCACCTGGGCCTCCACAGGGAAGGTAGACATGGTGGGCTCCGCTTCATACTGGACGGGGCCCAGGGCCAGGCGCACGTTGCCCATCTGTACCTGAGGGTGTGGGGGCAGTGCTCCTAAGCACGGGTCTGCAGCCTGCAGCCCACCCGCCTGGGGCGCATACTCACCACAAACTGCGGCAGGGCACTGGAGCTGTTGGTGGGCTGAGGGGCGTGTGGGGGTGGCTCACAGTACAGGTGGGTGAGCGTGAGCGTCTTCACCAGGCACTCACCATCGCCAATGTGCACACGTACCTCCTCTTTGCTGATTCCCAGGTTGAGGCCCTCGCCCTGGGACACATGCCAGGAACTTGAGCTGGTTGCTTGTACTGGGGGCCCTGAGCGCCCTGGGAATGCACAGCTGGGAGACGCTCACCTCCACATCCAGGATGTGACCCGGCTTGAGGCGATAGGGGCGGGCGAGTCCCTCACGGCTGAGCGGGGCCAGGCGGGGGTTGGGCTGGTACAGAAAGCTCTGGCCCCCACTGGCACTAGCAAAGTCCACCTGCACATTGTCCAGGGTGAAGAATACCCGCTTTGGGTGGGCCCCATCTGGTACAGCAGGGCTACGGCACAGGAGGAGGCCGGACGAGTTGACAGAGCAGATGGTGGAACACTGCGCGGCAGTTAGGACCAGGAACACAGGAGGGTCAGTTAGGGTTCCCTTTTTCATTCCTATAGACATACTATTTGGCCCTGCCCCCCCAGCCCCCAAGCAGGCCTGGGGACAGCCCTGTCACCAGCTGGTGTGGAGGGGCTCACCTGTAGCAAGCCTCCCCCAAGCTGGATACAAGTCTGGGGTTCTGCAGCAGGGGCTTCACAGCTCCTCCTTGGGTTCAGGTCCTGGGGCTGAGCCCCCAAAGCCTTTACCTCTGCTTCGGCCTCCAGCCACACGGACAGCAGGGGCTGCCACACCACGTCCAGGCCTGTGCCCCGGACATGGATCAGCCGCCCGCCCCTGGGCCAAGATGGAAGTCAGAAGGGTGGGAGGTTGGTGGGTAGCCCTGCACAGCCCCAGCTCCCCAGCTCCCCTCTGGATCAGTCCACGGGCTGCTCCGTGGGCTGGCCAGGCTCCTCACCCCCGGAAGCTGACACTGGGCTCTGCTGCCACAAGCTGGGGGTTGGCAGTGTAGCGGAAGGGGCTGCTGAGTAGTTTGCGCTCAGCATGGCCAAAGACCACAAGGACCATTGCTTCTCCTGGTGTGGCCTGGGGCATGGTGCGGCACACGATGGTCTTAGGACACACCGGCTCCTGGCTGCAGGGAGTGCAGGAGGAATTGTTATCTTGGGCTCTCACTGTTACCTTTCATCCCCAGCCCTGACCCAGCTCCCAGTGATAGGCCCACTTTGCCTCGCATAACAAGGGTAGAGACCACCGAGGCAAAAATAGTACTGCTTCTCTTAGAATTTGATGGTGGCCTTGAATCCACTGCCCCCACTATATAGGAGGGGACACCCACAGGGCATATCCCCACTTGGCAGCAGCCAGGCCTGGGCTAGGAGGCAAGCAACCTCTAGACCTGGTGGGCAGCAGGGTAGATACTTACATGGGACAGGGTTGGCCACCCACAAAGGCAGTGATGTTGCCTCCTGTCTGGAGGTGCTGCCCATGGATGGTGAGCTGGGTGCCCCCTGCTTGAGGGCCCCACCGGGGACTCAGGCTCAGCAGGACAGGATCCTGGGGAACAGAGCAGACTGCAGTAGGCATGGCAGTCTGGCCTGGTGCTTCCTTACCTGGTGCCCATCCCTGAGGTCCTAGGGCTTTGTGGTACAGGCCCAATTCTTGGTTTCTCAAGTGTCAGGGGCTACAGCTAACCATGCCCTCCTTTCATAAGCACAGTTCTGGCTTCTGTAGCTCCTCATTTTCCAGCTTTCCTTCAATCTGCTGCTGCCCCAAGTCTCTCTTCACCATCAGTATTTCCCCTTGGGACTAACTTGCATCCTGAGTTAAACCTCAAGATCCAATTGCCTTCTCGAGGTGCTTTGTGTGCCAAGCATAACTCCTGGTCCTGACCCACCCCTGCCTCCTACTGTTAGCATTCTGGGATACCTGACCCAGAAATGCCCTCCTAGATGCCCAGCGTTCAGGCTAGCACCTGAAGGTGTCCCCACACTCCTCTGTCCTGTGCTCCTGCAGGGAGCCAGGCCCACAAGTTCTGATAGCTCTGTGCCAACTCTGGCCCAGCTGCCCACCACATTTGCTCCTGAAGCCCAGTGCCCTCCTGGACAGCTGCCAATGGCTATGTCCTTGCTCTCTTGCCACTGTCCCCAGCTTCCTCTCCACTGAGATCATGTACTTTCCCTTCTGAACACACAGCAGTGCTTCTTGCGACCCTTGAATCCAGTTTGATGTCCCCACCTAGCTGTCTGGCCGCCCTTCCCACTGTCCTACATTACACCACCCTGAGGTAGACACTGACCTGGTAGGTGAAGTGCTGGATTGAGATGCCTGGTGGCCGACTCTTAATGGCCACTTGGACCGGCCCAGTCGTGCCATTAGGGGCAGGAGATGTCACACACACAATCCTGATGAGCAAGGTCCAGTAGTGCCTCAGGGCCCCCAGCGGAGCCTTGGGCAACTGCCAGCCACCTCCTGGAGCCCCCTCCTGCTCACTCTCCCTCACCCACTTGCTTTCCTTTTGTACACATACCCAGGACCCCCATTTCTTGATGGCAAGCCTCCCTTCTCTCTGGGTGGCTGGTTTCTGAAGGCCTACCCTGGACGGCCTCCCCACCCACTTCTGCCTGCCAGGCGCCTCACCGGGTAGAGGTACGGTAGAGAGCGGGGTCGGGGCTGCAGGGCTGGCCGGCCACACTCACAGCATCTTGCACATCAGCAAAGGCCCGACCCAGGTTGGAGCCCAGAATGGTGAGGGCCAAGCCACCCTCTGGGGGGCCAGTCAGAGGCTCAATCTGTATCAGGGAAGGATGGCAGATGGGGCACTCCAATCTCACAGCTCACTCTGCAGCAGGGGTGCCCAGCCAACCAGCTGGACTGTGGCTAGGCCCGGCTGTTAGATTGGGGGCCTGAGGCAGTCAGTCTGAACTGAGGGGAGGTAGGACAGTGAGGGGCAGGGGAGAAGTGGGAGACTGGGCCATGGAGGAGGGTGGTGAGCAAGGGCCCTGATGGGGAATGGCTCACCATATAAATGCTGGGCATGGGACACAGCAGCTCCACAGCTCCTGGTGGGCACAGGGGCCCATAACGACAGGTAGGCTGACCATCACCACACCACAGGCAGCCCAGGCTCCCGTTGGCTGCCTGGCAGTGGCTACAGTCAGGGTGGCCCACAGCACAGTCATACAGGATCACTAGGAAAGGCCAGGCATGCGCTGAGGTAGCACTGTTGTGCTGCATCCCCCGCCCCCTCCTGCCCTGCTACCCCCGAGCTCACCATGAAGAGCATGGGCATTGTCCAGCCGCTGGACCTCACCCCTAGTGACGTAGATGGGCACTGGGAGCTCTCGCTGGGACATGGAGGGGTGGAACTGTGGGTGGAGTGCAGGGTCAGAGTTGACCCCCACTTGGGGCAACCCCACCTCCCACCTCCCCTAGGGTACTCCCTAGAATGGGTGAGCCTGTTCCCTGCCTTTCCCACCAGGGTGCTCAGGGACAGACTGCAAGCACTATGTTCCTGCCACATGCTCAGGGCCTGGCACAGAACAGACTGTCATGAGTGACAACAGGATGAAGAAGGACTCGGGAAACCGGGGGGTGGGCAAGAGGGCTACAGAAGGTGCCCAGCAATAGGTGAGGCTGGGGGGAGCCACCCACCTGCTGGGCCTGGCAGTGAATGAGGCCGGTGTCTGCAGCTGTCTCCTCCAGGGAGGCCGGCAGCTTCTGCAATGCTCCAGGCAACTCCAGCCAGCAGTGGTAGGCGGCAGACAGGCCCTGGGGGGCATGCTGTCAGCCCCCTGGACAGTGTCAAAACCCCCCATAGTCTCCAGCCCCTGCCGTCCTGACAACTTACTCGGAAATACTGAAGGTTCTGCACGTGCAGGGCCAAATGGCTCTCCCAGCCCACAGGTACCAAGTGGGGACCTGCCAGCCCCACCACCTGGGGGCAAGCCTCCGGTCCATGCCCCTGGATGTCCATCTGGGGAAAGAAGAACCCTCAGCCCTTCAGAGCTGCAGGAGCCCACCCCTGGGCAGCTCTGCCTCTGTTTGCAGTGCCCGCAGGGGTGGTCATAGGGGGCTGAGTATATGAAGGGAGTCCTGGTCGGGTACACCCACCTCCTGGGCACTGTAGACTGTCCTCTCACCCTCTGGGCACTGTTCCCCGTGTACACAGTGGCTGCTTTGGGGGCACCAGTGGCACCGCCAAAGGCTGCTCACACAGGCATGACACCTGCAGGGACAGGGGTCTGCTCAGGCTGGGTGCCATCTCAGGGTGCCACCCCTACCCAGCAGGAGCCAGGCCAAGGAACTCACGGGGCAGCCACCTCCAAGGCCTGGACAGCACTGCAGTCGTAGAAGGAGAAGTTGGTGGCAGCCACGGCCACATCTTCAAACATCAGGGCCAGGGGCAAGGTGATGTGGTCTAGAGGGATAGTGGTGGTAGAGCAGGGCACATGGCTCCTGTCCCCTTCAGTTCCCACAGGTCCCCTACCCAGGGGCCCCCTTACCTGTGCCTGGAGGGTTAAGAGGCACCTGGTCTTGGGGAGGGGTGACACAGGCCACATGGGGCCCTTCCACATGAGCCAAGCTATCATAGTCCCCAAAAGCACAGTGGAAATATTCATCCACAGCCAGGGTGGGCAGCCGGGGGACAGACAATGTGACCTGGAACACATGAGAGGGAAACAGGGCAATGCAGCTGGGCAAGGGGAGGGTGGTAAGCAGGTAAGATACGCTCTTGAGGGCAGGAACAGAGGCTGCTGGGAGGCAGCCAGGGGCACCCCCTACACACAGGCAGTGGCAGTCGGTGGGAACTTTACCTGGCCCTGCTCCTGGCGTGAGTGGTGGGCTGGCAGCAGGCTCTGGATGTGGAGGCAGCGACTGTCCTCCTCGTAGCTCCATAGCCACTGGTTCGGCTGGGCTGCCCGCCTGCACTGGCTCTTCCGGGTGCACCTGCCGGGCAGGGGCCCATCATCTCATTGTGTGGGTTTCAGGCTCCCTGGGGGATTGGGAGGCTGGCCCAGCTGGAGCATTGTGAGCAGGGGTAGTGAGGGGACACTGCTGAGAGGAGTGGGCCAACCTTGGAGGTTTCACAGCCAAGGCGCGGGCTTTAGCTTTTTTGGGGGAGTGGGGATTGAACTCAGGGGTGCTTAACCAGTAAGCCACATCCCCCACTTTTTTTTAACTTTAGACAGGGGTCTCACTGAGTTGCTTTGTGCCTTACTTTTGCTGAGGCAGGCTTTGAACTCACAATCTTCCTGCCTCAGCCTTCTGAGCGGCTGGGATTAGAGGCATGTGCACCACCACACCTGACAAGCTTTGGCTCTTCACTGTGAGAGAGGGACCTGCTACTGGGTTGCTGTGTGGAGCTTTGGCTGGGGGGGGGACTTGAAGTGGGTCAGGGGACACCATCAGCTGGGCAGGGGTCCTGGGAGTGGTGGCAGATGCCTGGACCCAGGGTGGGGCTGCTAGAAGTGAGAAGTGGATAGGTTAGGCAATGTCAGGCAGCCGATGCCATGGAGATTCATAGCTTGGTGGGATGGGGCAGGGTTGAGGAGCTCAGCAACAGCCAGGGTTGGTACTTGAGCAAGTACGGCTGGACTCTTGGCACACCTAGAGCTGCTCTGCTTGTACATGTTGGTACAAGCCAGGGCACATGACCACACTCACCTGCCCTGTAGGATGCACCAGCCACATAGTGGGTCCCGGGCCTGGAGGCAGCTGGTGCAATTGGGGAACTGAGGGCAGGTTGCCACGGGTACCTTGTTAACCTAGATGAGCAGCGAGGGAGAAAAATGGTGGCTGTGGAGACATGGGCCATGTGGACCTGGCCCCAGATCTTGGGACAGTCCTCACCTGTTGGGCAGTCAGGACATAGAGGTGGCCACCATTGCTGTCCACCAGCAGGTCTGGGCTGATGGGTGAGCCAGGAGGCCCCACTTGCTGGGAGTGATACACTTGGCCTTGGGAGCTGTTGAGAAAGACCTGGGCAGGGGCACAAAGATAGGGCTGAGCCATCAGCTCTCCAGATGGCCATATGTTCACTGTTCGGGGTACATGCTCTCCTCCGAGCAGGGACTCCATTTCAGGAACATAAAGTCTCAGAGGTGGAGGGCTCTGGAGGTTTCCCTGAGCCATTGGCAGAAGAGGCTCCCGGACAGGCCACAAGGCTGGACCCAGCCTGGCAGTGTGTGGGCTGCACTAGGGCACCCCCCTTGGTCAGGCTCTCACCTTATGTAGCTGGCCTTGGGTGTCCCCCAGGAAGGCTATCATATGCCCATCTGCCTGGAGGGCTGCTATAGCGCTGATGGGATGTCCAAGCTGTAGCAGAGGCTGCGCCTCCAGGGGCTGGCGGCCAGCAATGGGGCTGGGGGTATGCTCATCGCCACAGGGGTATGACTCAGGGGAGTCCTAGACAAGTAAGGAGTGGAAATCAGCTCCAAGGAGAGGCCCAGGAAGACAGTCAGCATATGATGCCCAGGCAGCCAGTGTGGGGAGCTGGGAGAGACCTGGGGACAGAGTGACCAGGGCTGGGGGGCTGGAAGGCTGGGTCACCAAGCCCAATGACATGACAAGCTTGCCCCACAGAGCCACGCCCCTCCCTCTGTTGACATCCCCTCGCCAAGAGGTCAGCCAGCTGCTTCTCACTGGAGACACCTGGCCCCATGTCATGGAAGGAGGGCTGCCTGGTAGACAAGCAAGCAAGGTGCAGAGGAAGAAGGCAGGACATTGTGTCAGAATTTGGGGCCAGGTCCTGGCCACTCACAGCAGGCAGGGTGACACAGCGGGATGTGACACCATACTCCACGGTGGCTTCCTCCATGCCGCTGGGTCCTCGACCACCTGCCGTATAGCAAAGTCGCCGGGCCTGCTCCATGCTCCCATCCAGCTCAGCCAGGGGAAAGGCACACAAGGCCGCCTGGGCCCCCCTTGAGCCTGTGGCAAATGCCCCTAACAAGGTGCCCGGGGCGAGGAAGGCAGCCTGAATGAGGCCCTGGCCCCGGCAGGCAAGGGGCACTTCCACGTAGGAGTAAAGGTTGGCATCCCCCAGGCAGATGCGGGCCACATAGGAGCGGTACTCGGCCTGGGCTCGGGCCCCACGGCGGCGGAAGATGAAGTAGGCAGAGTGGGTGTCAGCAAAGGCCCCCACGTAGCTGTTGTTGTAGTCAGAAAAGTCACCCACCACCAGGCGGCCCAGGCCCTCACTGGAGAAGGGCTGTGGCCCAGCCAGCTGGCGTACTGTCAGGGGTGGCACCCCGGCCGACAGTTTGCCTGCCAGGCCTCTAGCCACCAGCAGAAGGTCCCGGCCTGGCAAGGGCACCACCAGGCCCACTGTGGCCACTCCTGGAGTGTTGGCAGCCACAAATTGCCCATCACCGGGGTCCTCAGCCTGGTACAGCACCTCGGTCACATCCCCAAGGCGCCGCTTCTCACATACACCCTGCCTCACCTGCCCACAGGCCACCAACTCCTGGGCCCTGCTGCTCACCAACAAGAGCTGGTTGGCATTATCAGTAAGCCGGGCCTGCGGACACTCAGCCGGGTCACGGAAAGGCACGCAGTCAGGACTGTCGATGACAGGGCCCGTGACAGCCACAGCCTCAAGCTGCAGTTCTAGGCTGAGCTGGAAGAGGCGGTTCACTGCGCCCACATAGAGCGAGCCCTGGCCAGGTGCCAGTGCCAGGTGGTTGAAGGTGGTGTTGGGTGCAGAGAAGTGATGGGCCCCTGTCAAGGGCAGTGGTGTTGGGGACAGTAGCAGCAGCAGGAGATGGAGGTAGTAGGAAGGCCAGGCAGCCATTCCAGGAACCTGGGGGAGAGCAAGGCGATGTGAGAGCTGGTGGGAGGGAGTCCCCGATACCCCACTCCCCAACAGGCAAAAGCCAGGGCAGAAGGAGCAGGAGGAGATGAGGCAGAGATGGGACCAGAGAGGAAGGCAGGGTGGAGACTAGAGAAGAGAGAGGTTCACAGCCTGGGAGCACCCAGGAGGCAGACAGGGACAAGAGAGATAGAAAGGCGGAGAAGGGAGAGGAGAAAGAAAGAGGGAAAGAGGGGGCACAGAGAAAGGAGCCAGAGAGAGGACAGAAAGAGGGACAAAGAAAGTGTCCAAGAGCTGGAGAAAAAGACTGGGGCGGGGGCGGGGGCACATGCCTGCACGTGCACATGCGCACAGGCAAGGGAAGAATTCTTTCGTCTTCTACTTTATATTCATCTACACTGTAGACTGGGGGCACATCCTGAGAAGCCACAAGAGCATGACCAGAGGGACTCTGAGTGACAGAGGGTGGAGAGGAAAAGAGGGGAGGAGCATGAGAGAAGGAAGACGGGTGGAAGCCACACAGCAGGGTGACCCTGCACCAGCCATCCAGACAAGGGAGTTGGCACAGGGACAAGAGCAGTGTCACCACATGACCAGGGGAGATACCCATGGTACAAGGAATAGGGAGTCCCTCACTAGCTGGGAGAGAGTGAGCCAGGAAAGATGGAGGAAGCCAGGCAGCCACCTGCTAAAACACGGCCAGACACGGCCCACCTGCCCCATGCCAGAGCTGTACCACAGAGGACGTTAGACCACCTCAGGGTAGTCAGAGTAGGGGTAAAGGGAAAGCTTCAAGCCATCCGGGAAGGTGCAGGGTCACCAGGGGCAGGAAGAGGCAACACAGGATGGAGGGCTGGATGGAGGCCTGCCCCTGCAGCCAGGGTCTTTGCAGCCTGACACCAGAAGGGTCCTCAGTGTGGGAGTGCTGATGAGGAAGACAGCCCCAGTGAGAAGGTGGGGCAGAAAGACAGCTGGACTGAAGGGGTGGAGGGAGAGGGAGGGGAGCCTTACCCAAGGTACCTCAGAGTGTGCCTGGAAGGGACCTTGAGTCTGAGCCCCTGAGGGCAAGGGTGGTGCCCCAACACTCCAAAGGAGGCACCGGAGTGAAGCTCATGCCCACGAGCTGTTGGCAGCAGCCAGTGCCCAGCAGCCTCCAGCAGACCAGCCACGCCAAGCAGACCCCTGGGAAGGGGCCAGGAGCTGCCAGTAGGCCCTGAATTGAACTGGGGTCTGCATGGCTGGACATGTGGGCACATGCCAGCCAGGAGCCACCCAATGCCACTCAGGCCTAGGGTCAAGCCTCAGGAAGGCCCTGGAGTCCCTTATCTCAGGAATACAGGCGGAAAGGGACAGACATTTCCTTTAGATCCTGGGTGTGTCTGCGGTAATGTCTGGTGTGTGGAGGAGACACAGGACATTAGAGTCCCACGCCGAAGCTTCCCTGTGTCCTGACCCTGGCCTGGGCTATTTTACCTCACCCTGCCCCTTCAGGGACATCTTTGGGGATGTGGGGCCCAGGTACTTACCACCAGCAAGGAGTGAAGCAGTGGGGTCTCCTGAGCAGCGTGCCACATCTCTTCAGTTCAGCTGCCCTGGGGCATTGATGATGGGCACAAGATGGATGTGGAGGGCATTGTCCTGAGTGGGAGGGAGACAGTTGAGGCTCAGCCCCATTCATGCCGGCCCTGGGGAAGGAAGGGGGCGGGGGATGGGGGGGACCAAGGGCCTGGCGACCGGGCTCCACCACAGCTGGCAGCTTTGTCAATAGTGGCCGAGCTAAGGCAGCCCTGCCTCCACCCCAACAATGCCTCCTCTGTCCAGAGGGCCAGGCCAGGGACCCACTATCTGGTGCTTTTACCCCCACCCGGGCTGTTCTGGCCAGGGGGCTCCCTACCACTCCCCGCCTCCAGGGAGACACCCCCTTGAATCTGGGGACAAAGGGACAGGGTTTTCCTCCAGCCAGTCCTCCCCATCTGACCCACAACTTTTCTGCCAGCCCAGGGTGCCCCACCTTGAGTTCCCCTGGATCCCTGTGAAGGGCATGAGGTGGACTTCAGAGCCCCCATGACAGAGTCAGAGGCACTGAACCCCTGTAAATGCCAGTCTTGGCCTCAGTAGCCTTGGTGCCTGGCTGAAGTGCCAGTCTGGGTCCTCAATGCCTGCCTTTGTTCAGGCTGGGGGCAGAGGAGACGCTGACAAAGGCATCCCATGCAGAGGACCTTCTCCCCCTCCCCCACTCAGCCCTGCCCCAGAGGCCTGGCAAAGTCGTGCCAGGTACAGCATGGTGGGGAGTACCAGTAGAGGATGCTGCATAAGAGGAGGCTGATGCAAAAAGGACCCACAGGAGGGGGCTGAGGCCCTCTGCCACAGGGAGCCAACCCTGACCTTCAGACAGGCAGTTGGCTGCTGACTGCTCACTCCCCTCCAGGGAATCATCCTCTATGCATGGGGTGGGGAAGGGAGGGACAGCTGGCTCCCCTGTCACCCCAGAAGGGCACTCCAGGGCCATTAGTCTCACTGCCCATGGTGCAGGGCAGGTGCGCTCTGACTGGGGTCCCTGCCTCCTTCATAAGGCACAGCACAGTAAGTGGCAACAGCTTGCTGCCACCTGGCTGAACCGGTTGGGTGGCTGTGGGTGCAGGGAGCCAGGAAGGCACCTTTCTTACCCTGCGCTGTGCCCTGGGTTGGCGCCAGCTTTCCCACTTGGGGTCAACATCGTTGGTCCCCCACCTCCTAGCTCCAGCACCCTACATATCCTCAGACATCAGGAGGTGTCTTTGCTGGCTGGGCTACTGCTTAAAGGCCTTTGTCTGACCCCAGCTAGCCAGCCCTACACACTCTGGCTTCTCCCAGCCTTAGCATATCTCAAGGTGGTGTCCCTCAGCCCAGAGCCCCCTGTACCCCACACCCACCCACACCAGCCACATTCTTCCCTACCTGTATAAGCCACCGGCAGGCTGAGGAGCAGCTGGCAGTAGCAGGAGTGTGTCCTAGCAGAGTCCCAGCCTCCCTCCCCACAATGCAATCACACCCAGCATAACTCGTCCTGGCGGGCCCTGCCAGGCAGCCCAGCCTCTCCCTGCCCGCCCCTTTGCCTGATGGCACAGGGCAGGGCACTGCTACCCTTTGCTGGCCTCCACAGGTGCAGAAAAGGGGCCTGCTGCAGGCACCAGGCTGGAGCAGGCGAGAACAGGGGTGCTCTCCTACTGAGTCATATCCTCAGCCTTTTTTTGAATTTTTATCTTTAAACTTAGGTCTTGCTAAGACAGGGTCTTGCTAAATTGCCCAGGCTGCCTTGAACTTGTGATCTTCCTGCTTCAGCCTCCTGAGCTGTCGAGATTACAGGCTTTAATTCATTTAGAAGGAATATGTTTGTACATGGTGAGAGGTAGGCATGTAGCTTCATCTTTTCTCAAAGGGACAATTGTCCCACTTTGGAGTCACTTCTTTTTCTTCTCCTTTTCCTCCTCCTTGCTTGTCTTCTCTCCTTTTGTTGCTCTTCCTCATCTCTCAAAATCATCTTGTTTATTCTAGGCTTTTTAGAATGTTTTTGTTTCATTTTTTGGTTTTGTTTTGTTTTTGTACTGGGGATCAAACCCAGAGCGTTCTATCACTGAGCTACACCCCCAGTCTTTTTATTTACTTTCATTTCAAGACAGGCCACCATTAAGTTGGTGAAGCTGGCCTCAAACTTGCCATCCTCCTGCCTCAACCTCCCAAGTATCTGGGATTACAGGTGTGCACCACTGTGCCCAGTCTGCTTTTAATCCACATTCTGACTGTATGTTGCCATATACCAGCTATTGTATAGTAGCAACTATTGTATATTCATTTCATATTATATAGCCTTATAAACCTGTTATTAACCCTAAGAATTGTCTGGATTCCCTTTGTGGATTCTTCTTGGTTTTCTGCTTGAATATCATATCATCTGCGAGTAATGACTATTTTCCTTCTTCTTCTCCAGTCCTTTTCATTTTAATTTCTTTTTCTTGTCTTACTTCCTCATATAATATAATGTTGAATAGAAGCAAAAAATTATTGTCAATGTTTTATTATTAAGTATGATGAAAGCTGGGGTTGTGGCTTAGCGGTAAAAGCACTCACCTAGCACGTGCGAGGCCCTGGGTTTGATCCTCGGCACCACATATAAATAAATAAAATAAAGTTAAAAAAGAATTTTTAAAAAAGTATGATGTTTGCAGGGGTGTTTGGTAGATATCTTTATGAAACTTAGGAAGTTCCCTTCCACTCCTCATTTGATATATGTTGAATTTTTATAAACTGTCTTTTCTGAATACATTGAGAGGACCACAGGATTTCCCCCTCTTATCTGTTAACATGATAAATTATAATAATTAATTTTCCATTTTTTGGCACTGGGGATTGAACCCAGGGGTGCTTAACTACTTCCCCAAATTAAAAACTACTTATTAATTTTGTGACAGGGTCTTGCTAAGTTGCTTAGGACCTTTCGAAGTGGCTGAGGCTGGCTTTGAACTTGTAATCCTCTGACCTCAGCCTCCGAGTCACTGGGATTATAAGCATGCACCACTATACCTGACACATTGATTTTCTAATGTTAAACCACCTTGTATTTTCTAGGCTAAACTCTAGTTTGTCATGTTTTTTTTTTTTCATGCATGATTTTGAATTGGTGTGTTTAATATCCTTGTATCAAACTCATCTATATTTGGTTTCAAGACATAAAGTGATTTGGGGGAGTACTTCAGCTTTTCCCTGG